TTCCTTCCTCACTGGAGAACTCCAGATGACATGTGACACCTCTTCCCAAGATGTGGAGTTCAGCGCCCTTCACTTTGAACACAGACAAAGTTAGTTCCTTGCTTCCAAAAACAATGTGAGAAAAATCCCAACTTCACCAACAAGTCCAACAGACCCTGCCCAAACCAAACAGTCAAGGGTCACATCATCCATGCACGTCTCAGACCCACTGATGTCATGGAGTCTGCTTATGATGTCAGCACCAGTCTGATCAGCAGATGAACCTAAAATGCAGAGTCATCTACAGAATATCCAATTAGCGGTCTTCCAATGATGGAAGTCAAGAGTAAGAGCTAGTAAAATCACAAATCCAAGGAGTCCTAGAAACCGAATGCAGTGTGTCCCGGGCTAAGTCCTGAAACAGAAAAGGCACATTAGTGGGCAGTGAGTTACAGTCAGATTCAGATCTGTGGTTAGTAGTAGGGCCATAGCAATATTAGTTTCTTCATCTTAACAAAGGTGTTAAATGAGATGTTAGTATTAGGGATAACTGGACAAGGGCTTATGGGGGCTCTGATCTTTGCCATGTATATGTAAATAAGATGTATTTAAGATTTATATAAATAAAAAATTGATATATATATTTAATATGTATATTTAAAGGCCCTATAGCTCTGGCTTGAGAGAAGATGCCAGCATAACGGTAGCTCACACTTAGAAGTCTCCTCACTTAGACCTCACATGTTGGTTTACTTAATCCAAACAAGACAGACGTTGGTGCACAGACTTTACAGATAAGAGAAATAAGGTATCAGGTGAGTCACACTGTAGCTGGGCCCAGTCGAGAGCACCGATCTCTCCTGCATCCCTTCTCCTGTGTCACTGCTGCCTGGTTGAAGAATACCGCCTCTACCCAAGTGGGTGTAGGTAAAAGATAGTCCTTGTGACTGGGTGAGTCAGGAGCCAGGATTATGTACCTTGTGGCTGGGGTGCAGGTGTGCATGTGTGCGCTTGTTCTGTGGGGAGGAGCCTGATGGTGGCTACAGTGCTTTCCTCTCCTGAAGTCAGGCAGGTAAATAGGCCAGTGTAGAGACTAACACCCAGGGGTACATTCCACCTGGAATTGAAACTGGTAAGAAACAACGGGATGTAGTTAGTGCTTGGCTGGGTGCAGAGAGCAGTGTGGGGAGTGGGATGGGGGACAGGATCTTAGATGTTTTCAAGTACTGACAGATCTGAGTTGGCTCTGCACTTTGGGGAAAGTGTGGGTCCCAGAGCTGAGGCAGATGGGGCCAGGCAGGGTTTACCCAACGCTGTGCTGGAGAGGAATCTGCTTCTGTCAGAGTCATTCAAGCACTGGGTGGAAGAGAGAGGGGTGTTCTTTCACAGTGGAAGCATGCCAGGACCTGAGCCAGGCTCCTTGAAATGTGGTCCCGACTAGCATCCTCGGCATCCCCTGAGAACTTGTTAGAAACGCAACCACTGGGCCTCACCCAGACCTGTGGGGTCAGAAACTCTAGGAACAGAGTCGAGCAGTCTCTTCAGCCTGCCTAAAATGAGAACCTCTGGTGTCAAGAGTCCATATTCTATTGAGATAGTAAAATTTAGTGCCTCTTTGGTCCCCGTGGTGTATGGGTTTCAGGATATCACAAAGATCCAAGAATGCTCAGGTCTCTTACATGAAGTGTTTGCATAGCGCCTACGCTCATCTTCCCATATATTTTATCATCTCATGGTTATTTACCATATCTAATAAGGTAAATGCTGTGTCGGTAATTGTGCCGTATTAGGGAATGACAACAAGAAATCCGTCCATGTTCAGTGTGAGTGGTCTGGTGGGTTGGGGTGTAGTGGCTCACAAACACAAGGCAAGCGTCCTGTCGCTATGTACAGCCTGAGCATTTTGATGTTTGTCTTTTTTTTCTCTAACAGGGTCTCACTATGTAGGCCTGGATGGCTTGAAACTTGCTGTGTAGATCAGGCTAGCCTCAAACTCACAGAGATCTGCATGACTCAGCCTCCTGAGAGTTCTAGGATTAAAGGCATGCACCACTATGCTAAGCCCTTAGGCATTTTACATTTTGAAACAATGTGCTGATAAGTTACCCAGACTGGCTTTGAACTCTTGATCCTCTTGCTTATCCTCTTAGGTAGCTGTGGTAATAGGCCAGCTACCAGGCCTGGGCTTTCTGTTTTGTTACATGTGTGTTTCAGCAAGTACTTCAGCATGGAAGCCAGAGGTTGACATTGGGTATCATCCTCACTTACTCTCCACCTTTATTTCTTACTCAAACTAGGATCCCGACAGATTCAGCTAGTCCAGATTGCCCCAGAGATCCCGTCTCTGCCTCCTAAGGGCTGGGATTACAGACAGGTTATCATATCTGCTCCAACCTTACACGGTGACTGGAACTCTCAAGTTCACATCACATGCTTGCATGGCAAGTGTTTTATGGGTGGAGCCATCCGTCTCCCAAGTCCCCTCCACCTTTGTTAAAGAATATTCCCATCTTTCAAATGAGCCCATGGATGCAGAGGACACAGCTACAGAGGCAGCTCTGTTCGAGACTGGCTGATGTATAAAGAAGAGGTGTTTATTTGCCTCATGGCTCAGGCTGGGTATCTGTGTGCAGTGCTCCTTGGAGAAGGTTATTAACATGGGTGCACTCAGTGCATAGCGTCAGGGCAGCCCTGTTCCTAGAGATCAAATGCAGTGTGGTAGCTGCAGTTTGTGTCCCGAGGGTCTGTCATGTCTGGGCCTGGTAGGAGGGATGAGCAGGTAACCGTCCTTAGCACAGCACACTCCAGCTCTGCCCCACAGGGAACTGGTGGCTGTCTCAGTGTACGTGTGGCCAGGTCTCGGGGCAGTCAGTGCCTCTGACTTTGTCTCCTGAGGGGTGTCCATCTTGGCTGTTGGGTTCACAGTGCCTGGGAGAAGTGCAGGAAGATGAAGGAGCAGCCGGAGCCGTGGAGGTTTAGAATTCAGCTGCTACATCATTTCAGTGGGGTGAGCTAGCCTAGTGCAGGTCCAGAGGTGAATGGAGGTCATGCTGAGCACTGCACTGCGGGAGGAAGCACGAGCCTCTGCAGTGTCCAGAGAAGGATGGTGACCCAAGGGTGGAGTTCTGGCTTCAGCTGGCTTCTGATGGTTCCTGGGAAGAGGGGTGGGATCTTCTCAAGGCCCCTCTGGTCATTTCGTCCCCTGCCTTCATCCCGAGGTTTCCCTGATAACACTTGGGTGAAATCCTCCAAGATGGCCACATCCACCTGTGTGTGTAAAATTAGAGCAGAGATGGAGGGTCTCACTGAGTGGGCACTGCTTGTTTCTGTTAATATTTATGGAGACAACAGCAGGACTTATAAAAAGGTTTTGGTTTAGTAAAGTAAAATGAGTTTGATGGCAAGTTGGTATTTATAATTCCCAGGGAAGTCTGTTTTTCAGGGCACTTCAAACTTGTGCTTCTGTCTTTCTGTAATGTTTCCTCCCTGTGTGTCCCTGTCTGTAAAGTGAAGCAACGGTGTCTGCCTGAGTGTTGGTGATGAGCCAGGGCTTGAAGTGGTGCTGTCCTAGGTCTGTTGCCTCTCTGCCTTTCATTTCTTCTTGTATGTAAACTGCCCCGCTCACCAGTCTGCGAGTCGCTGGTGGGGTAGCAAGGAGCACTGCCCCGCTCACCAGTCTGGGAGTCACTGGTGGGGTAGCAGGGAGCACCAGCAGATCTACCCTTTCCAAGCTTGTCCTTTTTCTATCACTCAGATGCTGTGTTCTGAACAGAGCTGTGCCTTTCACACTTTGGGGAGAAATGTGCCGTAACTGTCTTCAGCCAGGTCCTGAAGACCATAGTTCATCTTAAAAGCTGATGGCAAGCACACTCATTTAGGACGTAGTATGTTCTGATCATGAACATGTAGGAACTAGTGTGATTCCCACAGGAACTCTCTTCCCACTGAAGAGCTGAGACATGGAGGTATGGCTGGTGTGTCCTAGCTGTGCAGGTGGCCAACAGCACAGTGGGGTTCCAAGCAGCCCAACTTACTCTCTCTTCTCCATGATCTACCCTTCCGCCACTCCTTGTACGTCTTGCCTCAGGGCCTTTGCATTTGCTCCCTCACGCACACTCACCCCTTCATTCTTGGCTGGCGTATCTGGTTTTCCTCTTCACACTGGCCAGACTTATGGGTTGCCTTTCCTAACCTGTCTCAGTTCTGTGCCCACCCATTATTCTGGTCATATTCACTAGCTGCCTCGTTTTTTCACATTCTGATTGGGCTCCGGCAGAAAGAGACCCTTTTTGACCCACCCCCACCCCACCCCAACCCCCGCCACCCAACTGCTAAGCCCCTGGCACCATATTTAAGAAAATCTGTGGCATTAACATAGGTGCTGATGACTTTAAAATGATTTGGGCTCTTCTTATTCCTGTGACATATCCCAATGCTTCCTGCGTGTGTGCTTGCGTGCACACAGGTGCAGATGTGCTGTCTGGTCCTCACTCAGCAGTATGGAATCAGTGCTTTCTGAATCACAATCCTGGCTCTCACAGTGATGACCTGTTCCTTTTCCTAGGTAGGAGTGAAACATATCTGTCCGAGTGAGACTATTAAACTTGTGAGCACTTACCTTATACCTACCCAACCTGTCTCCTTTCTCACTAGCTTATATTGTACCATACCCACTTCCTGTGTCTGCCCTGGGTGGGGTGGGGGTATCTGTCAGATCCCTTGGGTTTCAGTGGGGAATTCCACAAAGAAATAGAGAAGCAAGAGCCCAAAAGCAAGATTTTTGACACAAAAGGGATTTTTCTGGTCCTTCCTCTGGGGACTGTGGGCTGCTGTAAACATTGCATTCTGGTGTGCAGAGATGCCTGTGTGCTGTGCTGGGGAAACTGGCCTGATGTAGTCTAGTCCCTCATGTGGCAGAGTCACTGACAGCCTTTTGGACTCCAGACTCACAAGCTGGCATAGGCCACAGGTCAAATGTTTTCCGTCTAGAATGCAGCCTCACTCCTCCTGCTCTGCCCTAGATAACCAGTTCAGGATGTCCATCCTGGAGCGGCTGGAGCAGATGGAGAGGAGGATGGCCGAGATGACGGGCTCCCAGCAGCACAAGCAGGCGAGCAGCGGAGGCGGCAGCGGAGGCGGCAGCGGAAGTGGTGCCGGAGGGGGCCAGGCCCAGGTAGGCCCTGCCATTGGCAGTTTCTGTCCGCTTAGTGTTTGATTCATGCACGAGGCACCTGGTCCCAGTGGCCTCCCTGCTGCCACTGATGTCATTCAGAGACTGGAATAGAATGTCCAGGGACCTGCTTCATGGTATCTGCACTCAGTGTGTGCATGTGAAAGACACCTCGGTGCAGGGCTTTTGTTCACCACCTCCGTTTTTACCCTTCTTGGTCTCAGATCTTACTGTGTTCCCCAGCAATTAGAAGGAGCAGCCAGGGGTGATGCACATTGGCTGGAACTCCGAATTAAGCCAGTCTTTCTACTTCATATTTTGTGTCTTACCATGTCTTAGGAAATACAGAGCATAACTTAATTCAGCAATTCTAGCCCCCAGAAGGTGAACTCAGAAAACAGTTCATGGAACATTGTTCAATGAGAACAGCATCACATTAGACCATGTTATCATTTTCCATGCACTCATTTCCTTTCCTTTTTTAAAATTTTATTTTCTTTACTTTTATTAGTGTATATGTACATGACATTCTTGTGAGGGTCAAGGACAACTTTGGGGACTCAGTTTTCTCCTCACACCTCAGTTCCAGGGATTGAACTCGGGCTGTCAGGCCTGATGGCAAGCACCTCTGTCTGCTGAGCCCCACAGTACTATCTCCACACGCCCACAAAGGATTTATCAGATGGCCAAGTACAGGGAGGTGACCAAGTATTGCTTTCAAACTATTGTTCCTGGCGCCTCTGTGCACATTCCATGTAGAAGCTTTGTCTTGAGGAAGTCTGAGAATAAACTATTTAAGGCTCCCTGAGATTGAGAGTGAGGACTGGATATTTCTTGCCTTCACTACTGAGTCCTTTCCTGAAAGCCTCAGAGAGCCCTTCTTGCTCTTCAATGTGAAGGATGCTTTCCTTTGCAGAAGTTTCTTTCTCTCTCCTCCATACCTCTCTTTTTCTTTTCGAGATATCCCTGGCTGGCCTGGGATATGTATTGCTCACTATGTAGACCATGGTAGCCTTGAATTCATAGAGATTGACCTCCTCGGTCTCTTAAATGCCGGGGTCAGAGCTGTGCATTATCACCATGCCCAGCAGAATTTCCTCTTTTAAAGTACATCTTGCTTGTTTGTTCGGAAACCTTGTAAATATGAAGGACTAGCAATGTTTTAATTTATTTTACGTGCATAGGTGTTTTGCCTGTGTGTATGTATATGCACCATGTGCATACAGTGCCTGAAGAGACCACATGAGGGCATCAGATCCCCTGGATCTGGACTTAGAGATGGCTGTGAGCCATCATGTGGGTTCTGGTAATTGAACCCTGGTCCTCTGCAAGAGCAGCAAGTGCTCTTAACTGCTGAGCCATCTCTCTAGCACCAGTGTTTTTAATATTAATAATAGATGAAAACAAAGCATAGTATCTGTGCCCACACTAATCTCAGATTTTCTTCTAACTTCTCCTGTTTTCAGAAATTGGTGGTAGAGACCACATGTGGTAAATTATTATTAAGGCTAGCCTAGAACTCAAGGGATCTTCCTGCCTCTGCCTCCCAAGTCCTGAGGTTAAAGGCCTGCACCACCACAAAGATAACTTTCATTTTCACCTGGTACTGCTAAGTTTGTAAACCAAGTAATCCTTGTTTAGTTGATCTGAGCATAGAATAAGAAGTTCTCATGAAATCCTTTTCACACACTAACACTGTGTAAAGGGGACAGTATATCACGTTCAGTTCAGCCATGTGGCACCTGTCCCTCTTTGATCTGATCCAGTGTCAAGTACAGCTACTGTGGAATATGCTGGTTGATTTGTCTCTCCAGTAAATGATGGTAGCCGCTACATAATGACAGAGACGGGGCTGTTTGTGTTTAATGGAAGCATTCTTTGACTGTTCACTGCTTGATGGTTTCCATGTTTCCATAAAGTTGTCTGTTGGTGTATCTAGAACAGCCTTGCTGCCTGGGTCAAGGTCAGTCTGCTGCCTCCTGGGGATGGCCCAGCCATCTTCTCTGGGGTGTTTTGACAACTCTGGTTGAGGATGACATTGCATCCATCAGCTGCCTTTTTAATTTTTGGAAACATGTCTTCTGTATTTAAAAATAAAGAGCAATGAGGAACAATGTTATTTTTGTACTAATTGGATTTTATGGAACTTATTGCCACCAAAAAAAAAAAAAAAAAAAAAGCTTTTCCAGTAACATCGGAGATGGGAATTAGGCTAGAAGTGCCACTTGGCTGGGAGTGTTGGACGTAAGAGTGCTGGCTGAGACTCAGGCTGTGGTGGTTCCCAGCTCTGATTTTACCCCTCCTCCATGTGGCCAGCGTTGGTGAACTGATCTCCTATGGACCCTTAGGATTGGTAACCCTATGTCTCATATCTCTCATGCTTTCCCAAGTATCCCTTTTCACTTTATAAAGACTTTTTAAAAAAATGAGGGCTGGAGAGATGGCTCCGTGGTGAAGAGCACTGGCTGCTCTTGCCGAGGACCTGGGTTTGAATCTCAGCATCCACATGGGCTCGCAAACTGTAACTCCAGTTCTTCAGGCCTCTGTGGACACCTAGCACACACATGGTACATGCAGGCAAAACACTCAAACACATAAAATTTCTTTTTAAAAAGTAAAGTGGGCCGGGCGGTGGTGACGCACGCCTTTAATCCCAGCACTCGGGAGGCAGAGCCAGGCGGATCTCTGTGAGTTCGAGGCCAGCCTGGCCTACCAAGTGAGTTCCAGGAAAGGCGCAAAGCTACACAGAGAAACCCTGTCTCGAAAAACCAAAAAAAAAAAAAAAAAAGTAAAGTGGAAAAAAAAAGGTTTTGGATAGTTTTAAGCACTTTTTTTAAAAAAAAAAAAAAAAAAAAGAAGGAACACCTTGAAGTAACTTGACTCGTTTTCTGAAGAAGCAGGAGTCAGCTGTCGGCGCAACCCAGAGGAAAACGAGAGTTCATTGCCTGGAATGTTCGCTCCCCCAGGGAGGCTAGGGGTTTTAATAGTGTTAACTCCCTGAGACATACCCGTGTGTCCCAGTCACTATGACTGTTAGAGTGATGGGGAGTCCATGGCACCTCAGCTTCTCAGAGTGCTGCTCCCTTGTTGCCTATCCTTTTAAAAAAAATGATAATTTTTACTTTTGTGTCTCAGTTTAAACAAAATTATTTTAAAAATGTAACATTTCAGTAAAACAGAACATACATATATATCAAAATTCATTATTACCCATATGAAGTTACACTTTTTTAGATCATAATAATAATTACATTATTTCCCCCTCCCCTTCTCCCTCCATACCCCCCATATACTCCTACTTATTCTCTTTCAAATTCATGGCCTCTTTCTTCATTAATTGTTGTTACATATGTGTACGTGTATATACATACATAAATACATACATACATATTCCTAAATACAACCTGCTCAATTTATATCATGATAACTTGTGTTCAGGGCTGACCATTTAACCAATTTGTGTGTTCTTTCCTGGGGAAGACTGTTTCTCTCTGAGCATTCCTTAGTTGCCTGAAGTTCTTTGTGTAGGATTGAGGCCTTTGGCATGTCTGTCATATTTCTTAAAAAAAAAAAAAATTTATTAAGATGCCTCAGCAGGTAAGACCTCATACTGCTCTTATAGTAGGACCCAGTTTCAGTTCCCAGCACCCTTGTCCAGCGGCTCATTACTGCCTGTAACTCCTGCTCCAGGGAACCTGACACCCTCTTCTAGTCTCCTCAGGCACACACCTGCACTCATTTGCATAATCATAATGTGTGTGTGCATGTGTGTGTGTACACGCACAATTCTGGCACAAAGGGCAATTTACCATGTGGGTTCCAGGACCAAACTACTCCCAGCCATCTCACCAGCCCCTCTCTACTTCTTAACATTTCTTTGTTTTCACTGTTAACATGCTTTCTACTGCCTGCTAATTGTCATCTGTGTCTCTGGTGTGGTGGAGGGCCTGTGGCCTTTGTTGTAACATGTACTTTCTCATGACACAGTGTGCTTCTGGCACCGGGGCCCTAGGGGGCTGCTTCGAGAGTCGTGTGGTTGTAGTCTGTGAGAAGATGATGAGCCGAGCCTGCTGGACCAAGTCCAAGCACCTGATCCATTCCAAGACTTTCCGTGGAATGACCCTGCTACACCTGGCTGCTGCCCAGGGCTATGCCACCCTGATCCAGACCCTCATCAAATGGCGGTAAGGCCAGGTGCAGAGGACTTGGCCGTCTTCTCGTCTCAGTTTCCTGAGCTTTCCCACTGGTGCAAAGGAATCCTGTCATTCAGTGCATGTCACAGCTCGTGAGCCAGGGCTTTTTCCCAGGACAGTTCCCAAGAGATCAGTGTGGTCTTGTGCCCTAGACTACCGAGTGAGATATGAGATGTTAGACTTTCTGTTTCCTTTGGGCGTCTGTCAAATGAAGTCCAAACTACCCTTGAAGTCCGGGATCCTATCCTTCACACTTGGGAAGCTAGGTTCCCAGTTTGGTTTCATTTTCGCAGGTTTTGGGTTATCCTGGGGTTTCCTTCTCTCATGGGTTAACATGTGGTAACCTCTGTGCTATCCCCAACAGCACAAAGCACGCAGACAGCATTGATTTGGAACTGGAGGTTGACCCCCTGAATGTGGACCACTTCTCCTGCACTCCTCTGGTAAGGAAGAGGCTTGTTAGCTAGGCAGTGGCGCACGCCTTTAATCCCAGCATTTGGGAGGCAGAGGCAGGGGGATCTCTGAGTTTGAGGCCAGCCTGCTCTACAGAGTGAGTTCCAGGAAGCCAAGGCTACTCAGAAACCCTGTCTTGGGGGGTGGGGAGGTTGGCAGGGAGGCTTGTTTTGTTTAGTCCCTTAACCATCTCTAGACTGGCACAGGGACTCCAGACCCCAGTGGGATCTGAGAGTGTCACTTAAGAGATGAGATGCAAAACAGAGTATGATGATGGTGCAGGCCTCTAACATCAACTTTTGGGGAGAAAGCAGGAGGTTCAGAAGTTCAAGGTCATCCTTGGCTACACAGTGAAATACGGCCAGCCTGGGCTGTATGAGAACCTTTCTGGAAAAAAAAAAATACAAAGATAAATTCTAAAGTGATTTAGCAAAGTGAATTTATAAACTCTGGGGACTGTCAGAGATGCACACCGTTACTTCTCACTGGAATCGGGCATTTGTTAGAGATGATTGTGATGGCATTGATTATCCAGCGGCCCCACTGAGATTGCCCGCAGGCTAGTGTATCTTCTGCCAGCAACAGCAGAAGTGAAGTCTGTTCCCAACCTCCTGTTGAGTTCCTAGTTCTGTCTGCTGGCTTTCAGATGTGGGCCTGTGCCCTAGGGCACTTGGAAGCAGCGGTAGTACTGTACAAATGGGACCGCCGTGCCATCTCCATCCCAGACTCTCTGGGAAGGCTGCCTCTGGGAATTGCCAGGTCGAGGGGCCATGTGAAATTAGCAGAATGTCTGGAGCACCTGCAAAGAGACGAGCAGGCCCAGCTGGGACAGACCCCCAGGATCCACTGTGCCCCAAGCGAAGAGCCAAGCACAGACAGCTGGATGGCCCAATGGCACAGGGAGGCCATGAGCTCTCCAGAAATACCCAAAGGAGTCACCGTCATTGCAAGCACCAATCCAGGTACAAATTCACAGGAGTTTCATCTTGGAACTTGCTGGCTTCCCCATGGCTTTCTGCAGCTTCCCTTAGAAGAGTCCATAGGATAGCCACAAACATTTAAGGGTTGGTGGCAAGGGGGGCGGGTTACATAATGTTTCTGGTTTTCCTTTAACAATCGCTAGTGTCCCTCCCCGTGTGGAAAGTCTGTTTGTACAGGAAGCACTGCTGGGGAGTGTTGACAGCTCAGGAATGTCCTGCGCTCCAGCTTCGCACTTCTATCTCTCAGGCATAAAGGGTTGGTTCTTTAGGATTCCTGCTTTCGTCGCCTGTCCTGACTGTCCTTTCTACTGTACTTTTCAGATCTGAGAAGACCTCGGTCTGAACCCTCTAATTACTACAGCAGTGAGAGCCACAAAGATTATCCGGCTCCCAAAAAGCATAAATTGAACCCTGAGTCCTTCCAGGCAAGGCAGGAGAAACTGCTTTGCACTGCACTGAGTCTGGAGCAGCCAAATATCAGGAAGCAGAGCCCTAGTTCTAAGCAGTCTTCCCCCGAAACAATGAGCCCCAGTGAAGGAGTGAGGGACTACAGCCGGGAAGCCTCCCCTCCCACTCCAGAGTCTGCAGCATTCCAAGCCTCTGCACCTCAGCCTGTAGTAAAGTGGAGTTCCAAAGATCTTTACATTGGTGTGTCTACAGTACAGGTGACTGGAAATCCGAAGGGGACCAGTGTAGTAAAGGACGCGGCGCCTTCACAGGTGCGTCCGAGGGAACCAATGAGTGTCCTGATGATGGCTAACCGAGAGGTGGTGAATGCAGAGATGGGGGCCTACCGGGGTAGTACAGAGAGCGAGGAATGCCCCCAGCCCATGGATGATATTCAGGTAAGACCGATCAGGTAAGCCTACAGAAGCTGGAACCTCACTGTGACTGTGAACATTACAGTTCACTTCTGAAAGTCATGTAATTTTTACACACCCAGACCCCTGGCTCCCCTACCCCTACCCGGGAAGGGTTTGCAGTCTGGTCTTGCTCAGGAAAATGTTGAGTGTCTGCTTCCCTTGGACCACATTTTCCTTCTGTGACTTGGCACCATGAATAAGGCCTGACCACAGCCTTCCCTCTTGGTAGCAGCCTTTCAGAACTCAACTTCTGACCCTCTAAGAAGTCTCCTGCTTCCTTGCATCCAGGATGACAGCTTCACTGTTTTCAGTACTGGTTATATAGAGTCAAGGCCCTAAAAATAGCCAGGAAGCCTGCAGACAAGATTTGGCTTATCAGTGTGACTGACTACCACGGCCGTCATCTAGCCATTGTGAAGGACGTCTGTGGCATGAGGCTCACATGGCATGCAGTGAAATACCTCTAGGGCTAATAGCTGGATGCCCTTGTAATGAACATAGGAAGCACAGAGTCTTCTGAGGGCACTAAACTTGTAGACTAAACGAGGTACCAAGTGATTAAGACAAAGTTCATCAATTCAGAATCGGAGGCAGTCAAAAGGGGCAACCAGAAAGCATGGGATGGACCACCTCTAATTTCCAGATTCTTGTTGATGCATCCGAAAACAAAAGGAAAACTCTAGGGCGCCCATGCCTAGGAGTGATGCTGGAGAGTGGGAAGGCCCATGCCTAGGAGTGATGCTGGAGTGAGTGGGAAGGCCCATGCCTAGGAGTGATGCTGGAGTGGGAAGCCATCTCCCTGCCAGCAGGTGCAGGAACCTAACAGCTGAGTCACTCCTGAGCATTGCACCCTGGGGGAGCTGTCGGTCTCTCTGGTATTCTGTGGAGGAGAAGCATGCATGCTTTATTACCAGTATACCTACTGCACCTAGTGGATGAGAAACCCCACCACTGATTTACCAACAACCATGTAGCCAGGAGGATGCCTGCCAGGTTAAATCAGATAATGTTTTGGCTTCCTACATGTTAGGTGAACACTCTCTACTGAGCACAGTCCTCAGCCCCCTTTTAAGTTTTTAAGTTTTTTCTCCAGATGGTCTCATTAAGTTCCCCAGGCTGATGTCAAACTTACAATCCTCCCATTTCTGCCTCCCAGGTAGTTGGGGTTACATGTGTCCCGTACCCCCCCCCAGCCTAAGTTAAATAATGTTGTAGACAAAAGGCTGACAAATTTTTCTGTAAAGAGCCAGCTGAATATTTTTAAGCTTTGTGGCTCATACAGAAACAGTTGTAACTGTTGGGTCTGCCGTAAGAGGACAGAAGTAGCCGTGGACAGAGTGAAAGGGACGAATTGCAGCTGCAGTCGGAGAAAGCCCTCATTCCACCAACAGGCTCCGTTCTGCCTGCTGGAGTTTGCCCAGACCTTGGTGTGGACAGTTCCTGCTGGACCTGTGTTAATGGCTTTTCTGCTTGCCATGATGAAACCAGCTGAAGGAAGGGAGGGAGGGAGGGTTTCTTTCTGGTTCGGTTTGAAGGTGTAGTCCATGGTGGTGGAGGAGGCTTGGCAGCAGGAGGGAGGCGGCTGCTCAACAGTGAGGCGCAGTCAGGAAGCCGAGCTGGTTGCTGGTGCTCCTCGCTTTCTGCTTATCCAGCTTGTGACTCCGGCCTGTGGGATGATGCCACCCATTCAGGGTGGATCTTCTCTCTGTTAAACCTTTCTGGAGACACTGTCATAGGCAGTTGCTCATATAAATCTGAAAATGTACATTAAACATTTAAGTGGCATTTATTTTTTGAGTTCTGATTTTTAGATTGTAGAATCCACTTTAGCCAACTTTCGGTAGCTGTCAGCTGGTTAGAAAGGCCTTAGGTCAGTCTCACTTCCTCTTCAGCTCCCAGTGTCCCACTGAACCACCCACATCTGATTTCAGTCCCAGAATTTTGCTTTTCTAGAAACTTCGTCACACTAGGATGTAGTCTTCTGTGTCTTGCTGTTGCCGTGACCAAAATACCTGGCACAGGATTAAAGAGTTTTCGGTCGCGGGAGGGTGTGGCAGGGACCTGCTGAGCACACTCAAGAACCAGAAGTGGAGCTAGGCCTTCCCAGGCCTGTGGTTAACAGTGTGTATCTTAGAGTCTTCTCCCAATGCTGTGATAAAGTACTCTACAAAATCAACTTAAGGGAGAAACAGTTTGTTTTAGTTCAAGACAGTCCATTGTGATAGGAAATGAGGGCAGCGGGAGCCTGGAGCAGCAGTCACCTTACATCCACAGTTAAGACACAAGGCAGCAAATGCCTCAGCACTCACCATCACACCTACTCAACACTGTACAAGCTGGGGGGTCTGTGGGCAAAGCGGGACCCCATAGCACAGTAACTCTCTGAGGTGCCTTCACGGTAGGAGATGAGCCTTTCCACCCTGTGGACCTTCTTTCCAAACACTCATTCACCGAGGCCAGTGAAAACCTAACCTGTTGCATTTTAGCTATCATTTTTAAGAGGTGTGCGAATAATTTTGAAAAGATGAGACCATGTCTACAATCTAAATATAGATCTTGCAGAGAACCTTAGTTTGGTTTCCTGTACCCATACTGGGTGGCTCACAACTCCAGCTCCAGGGGATCCAACACCCTCATCTGGGCTACAGGCACCTGCTCTCACATGTGCACACAGGGACACACGTGTGCACACGGGCATAGACACACAGTTAAAAATCAAAATCAGTATGTAGGGCTGACAAAATAGCACAGCAGGTAAAGGTGTTTGCCCTCAAGCCTGATGACCTGAGTTAGGTCTCCAGGACCACTTGGTAGAAGGCACGTGCAGGCACATAACGGATATTTTTGAATTAAGATGAGGATTTACCTGGAACTCCCCAGGTATGAGGTCCCTAACTGGTTAATGCTGCTTAGAGTGGACAGTGGGCCCAAGACAGAAGTTCTCTAAGATGTGACTAAGGTGAGAGGCCGAACTATGATTAGGAGATGGTCAGGTCTCAGTGAGTCACATACTGACTAAAAATGTTACTGAGTGCGTTGGATTGAGGTGTAAACTGGCTGTCTTGCCCCACTTCCCTGTCCGGCCTCCATTTTCCTTTACGCGGTGAGGGATGGCAGTAAAACGGGTTTGGAGATTTCTTCCTAAGCTCAGGGTCTGTGGCCTCTGGTTGCAGGTGAACATGATGACCTTGGCGGAGCACATTATTGAGGCCACACCAGACCGAATCAAGCAGGAGAACTTTGTGCCCATGGAGTCCTCAGCCCTGGAAAGAACAGATCCCGCCACCATTAGCAGTACAATGAGCTGGCTGGCCAGTTACCTAGCTGATGCCGACCGTCTGCCCAGTGCTGCCCACATCAGGTTAGGAAGGTTTGGGATCAAGGATTCTCTGCCCAGGATAAAGTCCTGGATTTAACTGGAGGCCAAGTGTAAAGAGCGGCTTTCCCAAGGAGGGCCTCGAACCACTTCCAAACCCTGGCTCTGCCTTCTCTCCTGTCCCTTCCTCCCCACACCAGTGTTGGTAAAATGCCGGACCAGGATGTGCCTAGAAGTTTCCTAGAGGCAGGCTCGTGTCCTTATTGGCCTTAGTATTTAGCACGGTGCTAAACTGATATAGGTACTCAGTATGAATTTAACTGAGGTGCGGCCAAAGTCTGAGTGTGTTAAGCAACCCACAAACAGACTGAAGGCTTCTCACCTGCCCGGGGTGGCTTCAGGTGCATCCTGTCTTGTCTCATCAATTCCTGGGTAATGGATGGTGCAAGTAGCTGTTAACCATCTTGTCTTTTTCTTTTTGTTTCAGGAGTGCATACACTGAGCCCCTAACTCCTTCTTCTAATGCCAGCTTGAGCCCCGCAGGCTCCCCTGTCAGTGAAGTGGCTTTTGAGAAACCCAGCCTTCCCTCGGCTGCAGACTGGTCAGAATTCCTGAGCGCATCCACCAGTGAGAAGGTAGAGAATGAGCTTGCTCAGCTCACGCTGTCCGACCATGAGCAGAGAGAACTCTACGAAGCTGCCAGGCTTGTCCAGACTGCCTTCCGGAAATACAAGGTAAAATGGGGGTGTCTCCATCCCAGTCCCCTTTCCCTGTGGTTTGTGGTTTGATAAAATGTTTATTGGAAGACTTTGTTAGTTGTATTATTATCATAATAACTTCCAGGAGTTTTAGTCAAATAAAACCAGCAGGATGGCTGTCATTATCTTATTGTTGATAAGTTGACACCTCAGCCACAAGGGATTTGTGACCTAAATCATAGATCAGACCCTGAGGACATAGATCAGAGACTGTAGGCTGCCCCTGTGCTTTTTATCAGGGATTTGGGAGCTAGATGGGAATCCGTCACCTTCGGCACATCCCTAAAGGAGTCTTGCCCGCAGGTGTTAAAAAGTGAAGTAGTCGCATTATTTAGGAAAGACTGCCGAGAGCCTGTAAGATAAGTGGTGCAGTGCCTAATTTGTTTAAAAAAAACATAGTTGGAGATTTATTCTGGAAATTCATTTTTTCTAATTCATAGTGATCACTGTCATTGTGGTTTAGTAAACTGTAGCTAGAGTTTTCCTGCCTGGCCCACAGTCAGGACAAATCTCTCTCACCCACCAGTCCCACAGCCACTCAGACCCGACCAAGTAAACACAGAGACTTATATTGCTTACAAACTGTATGGCTGTGGCAGGCTTCTTGCTAACTGTTCTTACAGCTTAAATTAATCCATTCCCATTAATCTATACCTTGCCACGTGGCTCGTGGCTTACCGGCATCTTCACATGCTGTTTGTCATCGTGGCGGCTGGCAGTGTCTCTCTCTCTTTCTCTCAGCCTTTCACTTCCCAGCTTTATTCTCCTCCTTGTCCCGCCTATACTTCCTGCCTAGCCAGTGGCCAATCAGTGATTTATTTATTGACCAATCAGAGCAACACATTTGCCATACAGAACATCCCACAGCAGTAAACCTTGGATTTTATCTCTTGGAAAGGAGCATCACATGAGTAAAGGCTCTGATTTTGTGTCTGTTGACAGTTCTTACATTCGCTCATTATTGATCTCCTCCTCACTTTACCTCTCAGGGCAGACCCTTGCGGGAACAGCAAGAAGTGGCCGCTGCCGTCATTCAACGCTGTTACAGGAAGTACAAACAGGTAAACCTGAATTGTGTGTCATAGAAGGAAAGGGCATCTGTCCAAGCAGCTCGGGCCTTGGAGGATGCTGCTGTGCGTTTTGGCTAAAAAGCACCACATCCAACTCTTGATAGCAAAGGTCTGACCTGAATGGCCTTGAGTTAAGAACCAGAGGAAAAGAAAACAGCAGTCTGCCACCAAGCGTTAGTTAGCAGAGGCATGAAGAACAGCCAGGCTTCTCTCACAGAGATCATGCTGCCAGTACAGCTTGTGGGGTAGCTGAACTACATCAAGGGGCAGTGTCCGCCTGTCTTCCAGGAGCACCATAGCCTCATAGCTACTCCAAGCAAACAGTTTTATTTCTATTCACAGAGGAAGAAGCAGTCTTGTAGAAATTAAGCAAACGTTAGAGTTTATAGATATCAAGGTGGTTATAAAATACTGAAACTTTTCTTACCGAGTTTAGACTAGATTCCATGTTAAAATTGGTCATGTTACTGGGAACAGTAGCACAAACCTATAGTCCCAGCACTCAGACTGAGATAGGAGGACACCTAGTTCAAGGCCAGCCTGGACTCACTATTACATACTCACACATACTAATCCATGCGCAGGCATGTACACACAGGCTGTTCTGTAAAAGATTTTAGAATACTTTATTTTATTGGGCTTTGGGTAAGCTTTACATTCTACATAAAGGGTATTGAGTACTAAGATGTGTAATAATTGCAGAGAAATATGGGGTCCCATGCTCTTCTTCAGACGTAAGGTTTTGGTTTCTATTGTGAATTGCCGTTTTTTGCTCTTGTTTTGTTTTTCAAGCATCTCCTTTAAACTTTATCAATGGGAAGGGAAACAGGGGCTCCAACTCCGGCCAGTTGAGTCCGAGATCCCAGACACTGAAGGTTTATTGTGTAAACGCTGACACCGCAGTCCACGTGTCTCTGTGATTGGTGAACAGGCTTCATATTAGCACTAGATTATATCATACACAGAATCACGGTTTCAGTCTGTGATGACAACAGGTACTTATTTTAAAAAGAAGAAGAAAAGAAAGAAAAACCCCTGCTGAGTAAATGTTGTCTACGGCTAGGAAGATGGAAGGCATTATCTTTGGAAATGGTGACAGCTAGCTGTAAGACTGATATTTTCGAAGATGAAGGCATTAACATAGCCAGGCTGCCTTTTTATTGGTTTTGGTTGGGAGTTATACTGATTTGGGTTTTTTAGTTTGTTTTCTGTATTCGGTAATCTAACGTTAATCTTGTATTTTCTGTTTCTCCCCTAAGCTGACATGGATAGCCTTGAAGGTAATGATACACCAAGTCCTCTCACAAACCGTTCCACCAGAGTCACAAACTCCACACCCATCAGCTGCAAGCAGGGGTCATTCAGTCCCAAACACATGCTCCTTTGCTAGGCCACCCAGCCATACCACATCCATCCTTGGGGACCTGAGGTTTTTCTAGTGGACTGGGCCTGGGCATTAATAATAGGTGAACATTTTTATGGCCAGGTCAACCCACCAAGCCAGTGACTTTGAACCTAGTGAATATTAAGCCCATATCTTATTTCTGTGGTGGGCTTCACGGTGGCCCCAGGAACCAGAACATGTACTGTATTCATGGTGTAATGAGGAGACTTACAGGAGCACCATAGGATGCAGTGCTCTTACCTGAAAGGACTTTGAATGGATGGAAATGAATCTAAAGACAGCCAGGAGAGATCAGAGAGATTGGCTTTTTGAACATTCTGAGAAGCCGGTTTCCTTCCCTCGTGTATGGCACAGCTAGGGATGCTATCAGGCATGGAGTTTGGGATTCTGAGTAGTTTGTCCCCTTATAATAGCCATGTGCCTTCTTCACTGTGTTAGAAACTTCTACATAGCACGGCGGTGAGCTTTGTGTGCTTAGGGCCTTGAGACTGATTCAGAACCAAGCCTGGCTCTGTGCTGCCTTCTCTCAGATCTGTGGCTGTGGAGCATGTTGGGTTGAAGGCCTCTGATACTCTCTGGCAGCCTTCCAGGGTCCACTGCATGGCCACTGTGTGGGTCTGATGAGTATTAATCTTTTGCAGGGTGCAATGGCTTAGAGGTGTCAGCGTCTCATGATAAGCCTGGTGTTTGGGACCTTGTAACTCCATTAGAAATGTGTGTCATGGAGCAGATTAGTTAGAGGTGCTAACTGCCAGGGGGCTCTGTATGTGTAGAGTCAGGCATAGTAAGGGTTAAAGTGTTTCCAAATTGGATAGTAAATTCTCAGCTTAAAATGTTACATTTTAATGTTTTTGGACTCAGATGTCTCAAGTATACTAGAAATCAGGAGAGGCAGAATATGTTGCTGTCTGAGGATAGAAGTGCTGTGTTGCCTGCAGGCTGTCCTGAAAGTGATTCTTTCCATTTTGGAAGAGAGATGAAAGATTGCTGTTGGAGTCTTGTGGTCAGCCCCATCAAAAATGAGGGTAGGAAGGAGGGGCTCTTACTTCCTGAGCTCAGAGGACTTACGGCTCCCGTCGTTAATTGTCCTGTCCCTTCTGTGTCCCCTGCAGTATGCACTTTACAAAAAGATGACCCAGGCAGCCATCCTCATCCAGAGCAAATTCCGAAGTTACTACGAGCAGAAACGGTTTCAGCAGAGCCGGCGAGCTGCAGTGCTGATCCAGAATTTCTACCGGAGTTATAAAAAGTGCGGCAGGAGACGGCCAGCCCGCAGGACAGCAGTCATTGTGCAGCAGAAGCTCAGGTGGGTGGCAAGCCTGCGGGGCCCAGGAGCAGACCTGCCTGGCATGTTGCAGGGCCTGAGGCATGGCAACAGCGTGGTCTCAGCTACTCCAGGTCCTGTGGCTTCGTCTAGCAATACCTGTGTGTTGGTCTCTCTGCAATCCTTTCTATAACTGCCACATGTTGTTACTTGAATGTCACTGGCTGTCTTCAGTATAGGTTCAGATGTATCAGGACTAAATTTGGTAAAGAGGCGTCATTTTGCAGTGTTCTGAGCTCCCTAATTACTCAGAAAGTGTACTTAGAGATCCGTGTTTCCATTTTATCATAGCAGAGTAAAGATTAAAAACAGAAAATAGCCCAGAGAGAATATCAAGCTCAGAATGAACTAAACTGAGGAGGTCTGGCTAATGCTGGCAGGCCTATTCCGGTCCCTCAAAAAAAACAAAACAAAAAAAAAAACAAAACAAACAAACAAACAAAAAACAACCTGGAAAAGACTTGGATGTGGTAGTACATACCTGTAATCCTGAAACTCTCTAGAGGCTGAGTTGGGGATCATGAGTTAGAGGCCGACCTAGCCTACACAGCAAGCCCCATCTTACCCCATACCCCAGACAGACAGACAATAAGTTGTAAGGGCATATGGAGGGACTATCTTATTTTTAGTCTTCATATTGTCTCCTTAAAACTTGGGAGTGGGCCATAGCTCAGCTGGCAGAGTGCTTGTGTAGCATGCCCAAAGCCCTGGGCTCCATATCCAACATCGCATAAACTGGTCAAGGTAGCACATGCTTGTAGTCCCAGCACTTGGGAGACAAAAGCAGGAGGATCAAGCCAGCGTGAGATACATGAGACCCTGTCTCAAATAAGTAAAGAAGACAAAGGTCCAGTGTAAAGAGTCCCCAGGCCAGTGGCAGCACTGTGGGAGGGGTGTGTGCTTTCAGTTGGGTTTGTGACAAACCATTTAACTGAAAGTCCCCCCACTATGATCCGATCGGTTCTCAGTATCTGCATTGTAAGCTTTATGGAACCTCTCTTGTGATGATAGTATTCTGGCTTTTTCAGGAGCAGTTTGCTGACCAAAAAGCAGGACCAAGCTGCTCGAAAAATAATGAGGTTTCTACGTCGCTGTCGTCACAGGTACACCAAGTCCTTATCTATCGTTGTGCTCACAAATAATAACACAACAACCCTTACCTTCCTAACTGTGTGCTGGCTCTGTGTAATGCTGATAACCTCCAGCAAGCATGGGGTAAGCACTCCAGGTCACAACAGGATGGTGGAACTCTAGGCACTGCCACTTGGGCTGGAATGATTGGAGAAAGTGTGTGTGTCTGACCATGGAGACCCCAAACAGTGTTTTTCTGTTTTGATTGGGGCATGCATGTAATTTACTTGGACTTAGCTTTTAGTCCAAATTTCTCTCTGACGTATCATTTATATGCCAGTTTGCATTATGGTCTTCACTGTGTGTTCCCTCTGCTAATAGACATCGACACAGAAAATCAAGAATAAAAACCCTTAAATGCCATAGGTTTTCACATGTGGAATTTCCACTAAGCAGTTGGTGCCCTCTGCTGGATATATAGAAGATAGCATTTCCATTCAGTGCCATAGAGAGCCAGTCTGATTTGGTCCAAGGTGAGAGCTGGGAACACAGAGGTAAAGACAGCCTGTTGGTCCCCAAGGATATAGCATCTTCTTATGGAGCCCTGCTAGAGGAGTCTATTCTCAAATGTGAGCTTTCTTGGTGAAGACTTAGACTTGTAGGGCTGGAGAGGAGAGCCTTGCTTCCTCTCTGTAGGTCAAGTCTGGAGTCTGTGCCAGTGGCTGTTGGAGCTGCACTGAGACTCCCCTCCGTGCAGTGTGTTGTTTCTCAGGTGTCGGGAGCTGTGCAGTTAAGAGCATCAGACTTGAGCTGGCACTGCTGTCCACTCTCTCCTGTTCAACCAACCCCAAGGCCTTGTGTTCAGTTTCATTCGTCAGAGCTTTCACTTCAGTTTTTCTTACTCTTAAAGCCATTTAAGTTGCTAATATTTGAAAATATTTTGCCACTGAGACTTAAAGTTCAACTGGAAACTTATGCTGTTACTTAAGTCAACACAGACACACACCTATGTGACCATAGAAAGAAACATGCATAAAATCTTAAAAGAGTGAGTGTTAGGATGCCAGGCAGTCTCTAGATGGAACATGGATGATCAGGTACATCCCCCGGAAGCTTTCTTCCCTGCCTTGGATCAAGGTCTTTTCCACCTCCACCACCCTCCCCCTCCCTTGCTCCTTCCCCAAGAGCTAGCAAGAGCTAGCATGTGAAATACCAATGTGAATAAGCTGACTGGGGAAGCCCTGGCAGAAAGGGTAGTAAACGACAGGGTGTGCTTTCACGTAATGAAGGCGGTTCTGCACGTCCTCCCAAAGCCAGTCTCCCGTCTATTGGTAAGCCGTGTGTTTCAGTCAGTTAGCAGTTGTGCTAGTCTCCCGTCTCTATTGGTAAGCTGTGTGTTTCAGTTAGCAGTTGTGCACTTACAACCTGGTAGACTAGCTGAGTATCTCCAGTTGGTAAAATACCTTGGACTCCCCTAAGTTCTTTTCCTTATAGCCTCACGTGTTCACTGCCCCTTCTTCCCTTATTTTGCCTGTAGAATGAGAGCCCCCCAAAGACTATCCGGCACAGAGACTAGTAGACTTAGCCCCTCTGGTGCAAAGTTGCCACCCCACTTGATGAGACTGGTTGGTTCCTTGAGGCCATTTCCAATAAACAGGAACATTGGAAGGTTAAACTGTGCTGTTCTCTCCACTTGGTTGCTGCTTGAGTTCAAATGTACATGAGAAATGAAGTGTAAGCAAAGCTACCTGAGTCCTTCACTGCCTTTCCAGTGTGTGTTCTGTGTTTACAGTGGATGAGTTGAAAGAGTAAGGTCCTTAAAATATAATTGCGTATAAAAGACTGCTTCCGAACGTAGGCTGGACAGAGGAATCCTGCTCTTAAACTACTGAGAGGAATTTGCTGAAAAGCTCATTGTCTTGAGTTTATGTTCTAACAGTGAGGCTGGCAAGGTCTGCTGTGAAGAGATCATCAGGTTTGGGGCTCTGTCTGCTCACAGTTTGCAGCAAAATAAAGACTATTGCTCTTTTGTTGGCCCTTTGTGGTTCAGACGATAGAAAATACACAAGCCAACGGCAGGAACCTTTGCAGATTGGCCGTGAAGTGTGTATTACTCCCTTTTCATTTTTGTGTGTTTAACATATTCCATTAAGGAGCCTGACAAAGTCCTGGACCTCTCTCCTTGGGGTTACTTTAACTTGTGTCTTCCCTTGGATGTGCGCAGCCCCGTCTGGTTTACTTAGCACTACTTTTGGAAGCAACATTGTCATGTTTATGGTCTGTTAGAAGGGTTGCAGTCTGTATTAAATAGAAAACTTCGTGATACCCTCTCAACAAGGTAGGTAGACAGTGGCCTCAGAAATCAGCAGGAGTCCCATTTCTAAGTCATATGACCCCAATGGTTTTTAAAAATAAGTTGATGGGTTTTCTTCCTGCTCATTTCACATCCCCTGCCATCACCCTTCTCTTCCTTCCCCACAAAAGAAACCACTTGGTAGTCTCTTTGGTTGACATAAAGCTATTGATAAGATTGCTGCTGTGACCCTCACGTGCTAATAGCTCTCTGGTGTTGTTTTACTGTCTAAAGCCCCCTGGTGGACCATAGGCTGTACAAAAGGGTGAGTTTAGCTGCCTGCTAGCCAGTTTCTCCTTATCTTCCATTTTCAATATTTTGCTTTTTGCTTGCTTGCATGGGGCTGCAGCGTAGGTTTGCCAGTAAGTTTCACATCCATTCTGAATGAAAAATAAAATAAAATACAAACTAACCCTGACTACTAACACTGCTGTTTTATGCAACAGGAGAGCAGTCACTTCCAGTAGAGGTTCATATGCATGAGAAAGTGTGAAGGAAGGTCTTTCTGAGACCACTGCCCAGCATGCTCAGACCAGGTGGAGAGCCCTCCATACAGGCCTTCCTGCTGACGTGAGGCTGTATTACAGGGAAAATTCAGCAAGTGGTTTTGTAATTATAATACTTGGCCACATCAAATTTTCTCAACTTTTGTTTTGTCAAATTTTATAGGCGGGGGGGGGGGGGGGGGGGGGGGAAGCTCATTAGGAAGTACTAGGCTTTTAAAAAAAAAATTATTTACAGATGCTACTTCCCTGTCACCCTGTCCCTACAGTTACAGTTTTTAAATCGCTCTTCCCTTTTCCTGTGAGGAAAACCTGCCTAGGACATTGAACATACAACAGAAAGCATGCTAGATATGCAACACTGAATTGTAATTCTTAATAAAAACATGTGGAGTATCTTGAACATAGAGACTCCATGTTACATTTGGGAGTAGCTGTTCCAAAAGCATTTGTATTTTAAAGACGTTGTCTTGACTAGGTAGTCAGACACTGACAGTGTTGCCGAGGTCTGAGACTAGGATCCCAGTTTGTAGATACACACAGGAGCATCTTCGAGTATAGCTGAAACAGATTGTAAGACACAGAAAAAGGCAATGTCAGAAAACTTTTAAAAAGCTCACCAACATTGGGCTGGAACTTGAATAAACTTTGGTAACTTTTTCTTACATAACATTTGGAGAAGAAGTTAATTTAGTATTGCATGGAGGTTATCTCTGTCAGCCTCTACAGGCTGCTGCCATGCCAACTTGATGATATGACGTGAGTTTTTTGTAAGTTTTTCCTGAGTAGTGACTTATGTGTAGAACAGTTGTGACTGCTTTAGAATCAGAAATAAAACCAACCAACCATGAATAGTTGCTGAAGGAGAAACTTGGAAACAAAACTAGACCACAGCTATGCTGGTAACTTCAGCTGTTCCCACCCATTAATGTTAGACAGTTGTTTGCCATTGAAAGAGCATTCAGGTCCCATGTGGTAGAGCCTCTCAGAGATGTCTGTGCTTAAAGTACATGAGGCCCAACCTCACCCACTGCAGACACAGATGCACTGTTTGCATTAGAAACAACCAGGAATCTTCCAAGAGGACAGGTGCATGCCCTAGCACTCAGTTTAACTCAGTGTAGTACCTTGCATGTCAAATGCAGTTCATAGAGCCTGCTGAAGGGAACTGACATTTTATTAGAAGTGGTTGCTTACGCACTTTTGAAGCCTGTTAGTTTCTGGTATGTCAATGATGATAATTGTCAAGAGCACATTTTCTAAAGGTGATTTCAGTGCCAACCAGAGCCCCTACTTTAATTTCTCTAGTGCCTGCTGCATTCTGCCATGAACTCTTAAGACTCCCACTCATGCATGGGAAGCTGGAATTTCATAACATCCCTCATGCCTTACGCAGTCAGCAGGGAGCTTGAGAGAGAGGAGCCAAGAGGGTTTGAGGGTCCTTCTGGGATGGGACCATGTATCCAGCTCTTTATTGAGGAATGACTTGTCCATGTCTTTGTGCAGTTGCCAATGAGATCTCCTCTCGCTCTCTCTTCCTCGGGAACTTGCAGTGGCACCTCCTTTGTAGTCCCCAAGTTGAATCTCCCTCAGTATAGTCTTGAGATGGCATGTCAAAAGAGGATAACATGCTTATTTTGTTAGTTTATAAAGTACAGAAAACCAGTTAGCGGTTTGTATGTTACAGTCATTGAAAATGTACAGTTACATTTTGTGATACAGTGTGAAACATGCTGTTGACCAAGCTCCTAGGTCCACAACAGAAGGACCGCCACAAAGGTAGGCGCCACCATCAGCAGATTTAGCACACCATAGGCTCGTCCCAGCTGCAGAGTGACCCCAAATTACCACTGTGTCTCCGTTTTTATCTTCTCTCTGGAAGGCTCGGAAAGGACATCAGTACTCTTCTAGTGCAGGTCATTTGTGTCCGGCCTTTCACCCAGGCTTAGCTCCTGATTTATCCAGTAACTGAAAATGGAGTCGACAACTTCTGAGAAGCCTGTGGGAAGGTTTTTGGCTTGGGAATTTGGTTTCTTTCGTTCTTCTCTCAGACACATTAGTTTCTGTTAAGGTTTAAGAAATTTTCCAAAGGTGTATAAGGGAAGCATCATGTTTTGCATGGACTTCTGGTGCACCTCTTGTGGTATTGCCCCAGAACCACTGAGATACATGTTAAGGAAACAACCTGGCCTCAAGGTATTGAGATATAATTGGCTGAAAATGCATGAGAAAACAAAGCAGTGTCTCTTTCCAGATACAAAATGGTTTTGCCCTTCTGTCTTAAAAACAGTCCTTTTGTGTCTCTCCTAAATGAGGGCCATTCTCCATATTTCCCAGACAGGTGTCTCCTTTCCCTCTACGAAGTAACAAGGAGGGCTTCAGAAAGTACACAGTCAAGGAGGGCCCTTATGATCAGCCGTGGTATTTAAATACCCTATATTGGGAAATTATGGGTTTACTGCTCATGTTCAATAAGGGTGGGTGCAGCTCTCCTACTAAAACGAGATCCTCGTTAGAGGAAGAAGAGAGAACACGTTCAGTCACAAATGTTCAAGCCACGGGTTTTCCTCTATGTTTGAGAGCTGGGTTTCAAACCCTTCACTTTTTTGTAGCAGGTTGTCACCAGGTTCTGGAAGTTACAAATCATGATTTGCTTTGCTGTATCCTTTTATCCAAGGAACCATTTTCTGACCCCACCTGAAAGGATACTGTTGTAGAAAGGTCAAACCGTTAGTCAAGGGCCAACAGATGTGTTAGCTACATCTTTAGTTAACTATAGCATGAGGTTTAGATTCCAAGTGGCCCTGTGCATCCGAGAAGTCAGAAATGAATGTGGAATGTGTCATGGAGGATGTCATGAATCTCAAAGTAATTGTGTCTCACTTGCCTCTTTTAGGAAATGAATATTTTTGGAACACAGTGGTGTGTGTTAAATTGCAGACAACATGCTCTCTGTCATTCTTATTGGGCCTCTCTGTCTTTTTTATTTTGCAATCCAAATGAGATTTCTGGAATATGGCAAGATCTCTCTTCTTTCCCTAAATTCCCCACAAGCTGTTGCAGCCCTGAGAGCAACAGGTAACTGGACAGCAGCCTCAGGCTGTCTGTGGATTTTTGATGGCCAGCACTGCAAGGCCCTGCCTGCTGAAAGCCACTGACTCATGAAGCATTCCTCTGGCTGAGCGTCACCCAGTAGATGTAATGAAGCGGCTTTGCCTGACGCTTTTCCCATGGAGCCATTGTTCACCAGAATTTCTGAAGCAGGTCTTTTTCATTTATTCATGAATTCTCATTGGACATCTGATGGAGTCAACCCTGTGGGCTTCTGCTGGCTTTCAGGGCTGTTGCTTACACATCACTCAAGTCCATTATGATGCAGCTTTCTTTCTTTTTGTTTGGTTGAGATTGTCATGGTATCTCAGAGGGTCAATGATTTACAGCCTAGAATGCTTGAGAAAATCTTGGGATTTTCTGATGTTAGTATTTGTATGATCACAATTCAAAGGCTTGATGTCCTGATTCCTGTACCTTCAAGCTAGTCAAGTACCTTCCAAATTACTGAGAAGAGAGTCAGAAATATGGTCCTTGGGCTGGTGAGATGGTTCAGTGGTTAAGAACATTTCCTATTCTTGCAGAAGGTATAAGTTGGGTTCTTGGCATCCATCCAGCTCCAGGGGAGAACATCTACACTTTGTGCATATGCTCCCACATAGACACACACACACACACACACACACACGCATAATTAAAAATAGAAAGAAATGTGGTCCTTGTTGCTCTCCTTAGAGGAAGCAATGCCTGTTGCTTATAAGAACAATAGCTTCTGTCCTGTATTTGTCTGTACTAAGTCATGGACAACTACTTTGCCTGTCTTCTGTGTAGTGGGATTCAGAAACGAGTACAATTCATTCATTCATAGATGCATAGATAGGATAACCTGGGCGTTTCTAGGTTCACTGCTTTCTTAGTCCTACATGAGCCTCATATTTGTAATTCTTTAAGAAACCCCAAACCTAGCAGTCCTTAGCGGCTGTGAAACAGCAAGGTTGGTTGAGTTCCTGTGCTCTAAGTTGTATAGGTAGTCACCACAAGGGCTGCATTTTCAAGTAGGAATTCAACTTCAGTAATTCAGGTCTATGTTTACCAAGTTCATGTACTGAAACATGTCTGTAGCACAGGAGATACCAAGCAAAGTAGTTCAGACAATTGATTCTGGTTTGAGTAAAACACAAATGAATTATTTTTTTCCACTAAATGTTTTAGTTCTGTCATGTGAACACATTTATAAGATGAAGTTGTAATGGAACGGATGTGTAGAAGAATATCTTAGGAACCTTTTAGGACCAGTGAGATGGCTCAATGGATAGACACGCACGCGCACACATGCGCACTCATGAACTAAAATAAAAATTTTAAAGAAACATCTTAAAGAATGCCAAACAGGCATGATAGTTAATATAGAAGCATGTATCTATTGTAGCTTATGGAGAACACATGAGCAAGGAGGAAGACAGAGATGATGGGTTAAACATCACATATCTTTCTTATTGATGATAAAGGTTTAGTGATTATCTGTGTCTATGACTGATAAGGCAGCACCAATTTTTAAAAATTCTTTGAAATACTGATGTGAAATTTCTGTTTCTTAGAATTTTTTTAAAATTTAGTACTTCAGATATCCCAAATCAATTTAGAGGTATAATCTTTCTTTGAAGGCAATATAACTTGAATACATGATTTTATCCACTTGGCATTTGATTTAAAGGAAGATGTAGACACCTATTCTATCCCCATGATCTGTTCAAGTACCATGAAGCCTGTTTGTGGTATCAGCAGGACAGATGGCGCAGGTCTGTTTCCTGCTGTCTCGGGTGAGTTGGTGTCAACAGGGCGGGTCTGGCTAGCATTGCAGGCTGTCTTCCGGGGTTACAGGCATATTCTTTCTGCATGTTTCAGGGTTCCAGGATTGTGTTACACCAGTGACATTTTGTGTGAGGGTGTTTTCCCCCATAACATTGTAATTAAATCCAATACAGTGCTTTATGGAGGATGGTATCTTAGAATGGAGAAAATAGAATCATTATCAGTTTCATCCAAAGTATGACATTTCTCCAAATTCATTTTTACTATTAAAGTCTTTTGGAAAAAACAATATAGTAGGAATTTTTAAAAGCCTGTCTGTTAGAGGCAGTGGAGTGGGACAGAATGGCTTTGAAGTCAAACAGACATGGGTTCAAGTTGCTGTTCTGCCATTTACCAGCAAGGCAAGTTGAGGCAGGTTGCTTAATTCCTATGAGTCTTACATTCTGTGTTTATAAATTGGAGAGAGTGGCTGTATTTTAATGACTGCTTAAAGTCACAGGTTCTGAGGAACCTTTAAAGACACTGGAATATGGTTAGTCGTTTCTCCCCACTCCTTTTCTCTAGTTCATCCCTTGACAGACTTTTGTTAAAGAAGAATTCTATGGCATTTCACTCCTTTGATGTTATTTATAGTTCCAGTATAATGTGGTGACTCCATGATGAAATTAATGTACCTAAAAATTGGAATGCTCTCATTTTTCCTATATAGACTTTCTGTGTTTGGACACACACCCTCCTTAGTGGTCTGTGAGAACATCATTAATTCATAATTAACTTAGCATTAATTTAAACCTTTGTGAAAATGTAATTGACATTTTAATTAGTTCTGAAAGAAGTAGGTGGCGGAGATGAGGTGACTGCAAAACCCCAGCGTGACCAGTTTAACTAGATGAATAGTGTTAACTTAGGCCTGTCCTGATCAACTGGTTATAGATTCTTTGGTACAAAGTTGCCTAAAACACTTCACTCTTCTTTTTATTTCACCTCAGTGATGAACTTAATATGTCTAAAGCATTTCTAATTGTTCTAGAAAGATGAAGGGCTGTCTTTATGGTGATGCTATCAGATTCTGAGTTCAGACTTCCTGAAGCTCTACAAGTCTAAGCAGTGATGCTGTGAATGAGTTCTGTGCTAATGCACAAATAAAACATGGTGTTTGACATAGCATGCACATCTTGCAGGACTTTGGCAGATGGGTCTGCGTGAGCACAGAACTGCATGTCTGGAAGTGAGGTTGGCAACTGTGCATGCCTTGCATTGTTCCAGCCAAAAGGGATGTTAGTCTAGATGCTGCATGTTTAAAAACTGAACACAGACCTATAGCATGTTTCAATTTTTAAGAAGTCATTTATCAAGTATGCATGTCCAAAATCAGGGGCCTATAATCATACACTATTCTATATGGCAACATGATGCCACATCCTAGGGCCTATGTACTATGGTATCCTTAACTATCAAATGCATATTAAGCTGGGCAGTGGTGGCACACGCCTTTAGCCTCAGCACTCAGCACTCGGGAGGCAGAGACAGGTGAATCTCGTGAATTCAAGGACAGCCTGGTCTACAGAGGGAGTTACAAGAAAGCCAGGGCTTCATAGAGAAACCCTATCTCAAAAAACAAAAAAACAGAACAAACAAACAAAAAAACATAGCTTTAAGAAGGAAGGACGAGACAGTTTGGGAGCGACAATGCTGTTTGTTGTAAATAAGCCATGCTAAGCTGGGCTTGCTATATGCAGGAAGTTAGACAACAAGTTTTCCTATGTAGTAGCAATTTAATATAAAGGATAAAGCTTTTCTTCCAAAAGAGTACATCTTATCTCTCTGAAGAGATCACACCAGGTTTTCACACAACTAAGAAATGATTCTGTTTCAAGGTTGTAAACATGTTATTTAATTTCTCAGAATATATATGTCCTTTCCATTCATTTCCAACCTGTGTAATACAGCAGTACTTTTTGTTTTTTTCCAGAATGCTGCTATTTGCCTGAGTTTTATTAAGTGTATTTAGAAAACACTAACACTCATCTTGACTAACTTAATGGACTAGCATAAACAGTAGGAGACAGACCTTAGACAGAATCAGAGGCCACATTTGGCTGACTTCTGAATAAGCCCACTGCCAATCTGATGTTTCTATGTCATTGGGACAATGTAGGAATGTTCAGAAACTCTTGCTTCTATTTCTGGGAAGCAGATGTTACTCTGGCACGTAGCATTTGTGGACTGCGCGACGCAGCAAGCACTAGCTAGCACTTGACCATTTTGCCATTGATACATTTGCTGTTGATGGTCTCAGAACCTACAACATTACCCTTGCACCACATCTCATTGGGCCCCACATTTTTATAGGCAAATTCTCACGTTAAAAAACAAAAAACGTAGATTGGAGCGGCAATTTATAAACTGCTGGTGTAAGTCCTCCATGGCTGTCTTTGAGCTTCTCACTTAAATTTGTTTACTCTAGTATTTCTGATAAGTAAAACAAAATCCCTTTTTGGTACCTGGGAGCTCTGAGAAGGAGCATGAACTTCACAGCTAATAGTGTGGAATGGGAGGGAACCAAGAATTATGAAGATCCAAGATGTAGCAATATAGGGGAGTGGGAAAGAGGAGCTCAGTGTAAGTTGTAGGGTCAGGTTAAGGTAGCCAGCAGTCTGGAGTCGACAAGTAAAACAATGATTCAGTTCCTGGGTCTACTTAGAGCTAAATAAATGTGCATGCCAATTCCCTAGTTTACATCACATGGAATTGTGGGGCATTCATAATAGTCTTATCAGACAGAGGAAGAAGTTCCTTAAATAATTAAACATTTCCAAGCTATGAGTGTCACTCTTGATTCAGTACAACAAGCAAATAGCTTTGCTCTGTTTTTGGAGCACCTCATGGAAAACTTGACGTTTTAACACAGGGTCACATCTTCCTCTTGGAATATTCTACCAACAATTTCCCAAGTTTTCTTGTTGTCAGTCTTCAGAAGGGGCTTGTCTGGGCTTCTCATTTCCGGGGTGACAGCCCTCTCTCTCCTTTATTTGGTCAGTTTCACTCTGTAGTTATCACCTGGTATTGTGTTTTGTTTCTCTTCCAGAGTGAAAGAATTGAAAAAGGCCAAGGAACTTGAAGACATACAGCAGCATCCCTTAGCAATGTGACATTGCTTCTCAGACTGTTTTCATTTCTGTTTTTAGCAGAGACATGCAACAACAAACATACGCGTGCGCGCACACACATACACACACACACACACACACACACACACACACACACACAATCCCTCTGCAGTTTTGGGGAGTCAGCTGCAGGATTTTAACAAGAATGTTTTGGTCATTGCATTTGCACTTTCATGGACAACTTTTAATTTGATCAGCAAGACATCTTGGAACTCAATCTTCTGTTGGATCACAGGAAAACAAGACACCAGGAGGAACTGGAAGGGCTTCCTCATCTTAGGAAGAAGCCACTTTCCTTGTCATTAGGGCTGTATTCAAACATCGTGTGGAACTGTACAAATATTTATACCAAAAATATAGATAAGAACAGGTGGGGCGATGCTAGCAACACAAGGAATGCTGGGCCTGCACCTTCGGTTACTTCCAAGAAGCTGAATCTTTGGTTCTCAGTGGAGGGCTTAGATCACCCAAGTCATTACTGAGTCTGTGTGTTCTCATTTCCTTCACTGTTTTCTTTTGTTTGTTCGTTTGTTTGTTTGGATCTCTACAGCACACTTAATGCAACTTTTAAAATCTGCAGGTTTTTAATGTCTTGTGAAAATTTGCAGAGGGGCGGGTGTGTGGTAAATGGGTAATGCACGGGAAATAATGAGAAACAGCTTACAGAATTAAATTTATTTTCTTGTCCCCACCACCTCCCAAGAACCTGCGAGGATAGTGATCGATTCGTCCCTTTTCTCATGTTCAGCACTTTAATTTGTTGGCCTTACTTTCACTTGCAATGAGAATTACTTAAGAATTGGTAAAGCATGTAGCCTTTTTTAGTAACCTTGGAAACCGCAGTGATTCCAAGGAATCATAAACCTTGCCTGGACATTTGCCACCTAAACGACAGTGTGGTGCTGCATTCTGGCCAGTAATTCCATGTTTTGGCTCTATCTCATCCAAACAGAGTGGCTTCTGTGTACATATAAAAGGTAGAAATGAAAAAAGCAAGAAAATATTTGAAAGGGGTTATATTAATTGCTAAATATTTTATTCACAAAGGTTAATAACATGGCAAGATGAAATTATTTGTATAGTTTTGTCTGAATGAGCGAGAACAATGTGGATGTATTGTTTGTATATATTGTATATATTAAAACAAAGATGTGCATGAAATCAAGAAAAAGAACAAAAGCAAAGCATTAGTGGCTATGGTCTGTAAAATGAAACAAAAAAAAAACTTTATTTCACTATAAGAGTACTTTATTTTAAATGTTCTGTAGAAGAACATTTTGCTAAAGCATGACTAACCTGCAAAAAAATAAAAAAGAGCTACTGTATTTAGAAATAGGAAAAAAGGCAGAGTAGCATTACTTTAAAAAAAAAAAAAGGATATGTTTACATTTAATTTTGGCTACCAGGAGTTTATTTTAATTTATTTAAAAAAATTTTTTTGCCAAAGGTGCCAAGTAATGTGAATGCTAATATTGCTTAAGAAAATTAAGTTACTTTTGCAAAATAGATAATCATAAGATGAATCCTTACAGAACTTAACACCATCCACTCACACCAACAAAAAACATTAGAATGATCAAAATTTGACAAAAGAATTAGTGTGAAATTAGAAAAAAATGACGTTTTCATATCTCCTGCTGAAAATCAAAAACTGAAAAATAACGAAAAAATAAAAGTGAAAAAAAAATGGAGACTGGTGTTGAAGGGATGCCACGGTATATTACTCTTTCCATGTAATGAGGAGCCAAAGAAATCTGATGCTTTTAAAATTAAACTATTCATGTCAAATAGAGAGAACCAATTTTGCATTTGCTAATGCCAGTTTAAAATCCCAGGTTAAGTGTGAGAATTGGTTGGTATGAGATTTTCTTTAAAAACAAAAACAAAAACATGGTTCTGGCTGCCAACTGTGAGTTAAAACTCAAGGCTTGTTGTGAAGCCTAAAAATATTCACAAATGAGCTTTAAACTGGTGTCTTCAGAAGGAAGGGAGAAACAAAAAGACTGTGGTTAAAAAAAAACTGGGGTCAGTGCTCTTGGTGCCTTTTCTATAATTGTACTTGTTTTTTAATTACTTCCTTTCACTGCCAACCTCAAATTACTGTACAGTATATGTCTTTCTGCTTGTGATCAGCTTGGACAACAGTGACAGCCCCACAGCTAGTAGCCACCTGTACATTTGTAAGCTGACCTGACCCAATTTTGTTTTTACATGTGTGGGTTATGTTGCAGCTGTTGCAATCCTTGCCCTTACCCCCCATTCCTATTATTTTACACAGTTTGACCTGTCTGAGGACACGGAGTAATTTATAAAAACACAATTGTATTCATAACAGGGAATAGAATGTAAAGCCAGCTCTTTCAGAATATCCTATATTAATACTGGATTTGGATACATTTACTCCATTGCTTATGGTTCAGATAACTGATCATTTGACCAGAGTAATGACCTCAGTGGATTTGCTTCAACCCTCACATTTATTTTTTTAAATGTTTCACATGCCACATTATTAGCTCAGTAAGTTAGAAAATTCTGGAAAATAGAGACATAGAATTAGGAAGTTCTTACGGAGGGGATAGAAGTAGGGTCAAAACCTACCAGTACAACTGTGAATTCTAGGTGAGGTCGAAGCGTACTTCCACTGAAACAAAGCATTTTTGACCACCTTTTTTGATTGTGACTCTTAATTTTGAATATAAGGTGATAAGTAGGCGCAGCTTTCTTGGATAATCTGAATTCCCAAGTGCCAGGAGTAGGATTTCATTATAAAATTAATAGCTAATCTTATTCTGTCTCCTGAAGATTTAATTGCTATCCTTGTTACCCATTCAAAATCAGCTGTACTGTGTGAATGAAATAAAGACATTACGACGAACCCCTTTCTGGCTGCACGGTCGCTTATGGCAGTTCCACACAGTAGTTGGCGCCCAACGGGGGGTCCCTGAGACTTGCATGTAAAACTAGTCTAGATGTCTTCTTTTTTGTAAGTTTTATTTTTGTAATTGTGCATGTAAAGCATCATTGAGTCAATGGATCTGTTGAAGAACTCAGCTGCTGGAAACCATGCAAAATGTTTTGAATTGCCCTTAAAATATGGAAAATGTTTTCTGAATGCTTTATATTCTTTCTGCTGTAAATTAAAAATGAAGAAAATTTCCCCATATTATCTGTGTTTTGCTTTAACCTGACCTGAAATCTAGGGTGTTGAGGTTGAGGTCATAGTTAGACCTGGAAATATTTTTTACCTTCCACATGCAGTGTTTTCACACCCAATGTTTCACTTAGAGCCACTTTCCCAAAGATTTGCTTTCCACCTACATTGCCTGGTCTCTCAACACATCAATCATTTGTCTTAAGTGCAGTTACTTGAAAGATAAGTAAGGATCTTACTCTAAATTCACCTTTTCTCTTGTAGCCTAGGCTACCCCTAAATTCCCTGTTTAAGCCCAAGGATGACCTTGAACCTCTTACCTTTTACCTACAGCTTTCAAATGCTGAGATGATGGATGCCAGCAGGCTGGGGTTTTGTTTGTTTCCCTTTTCCAGACAGGGTTTCTCTGTGGAGCCCTGGCTGCCCTGGAACTGACTCTGCAGACCAGGCTGGCCTTGAACTCGCAGAGATCCACCTCAGGCCAGGTTTTATGTGGTTCTGGGGATCAAACCCAGGATTCTGCATGTTAAGCACTCTACCAACTAGGCTATACTCCCCAGTGCTACTGGGTAGGTTTTTTAAAAAGACTTTTTCCAGTTTACCTCACCTAGGCCTCCCTTCCAGGAACTTTTCATCATCGTTCCAGTCCTCTTCACTGCAGAGTTCTGCTTGTCTCCCTAGGAGTACACCTCACTTCAGATCTACCTCAGAACTAGTGCCAGACAGTTTCACACTGAAACTTTCAATGGGAGTCCCTAATATTTTCTGGAGCCCACTGCATTTAAATGCCATTGTCTTGCTTGTCTTCCCTCTGTTCACTCTTGTTTTTACTTAAGCCCAGCCCCACATTCTCCAGTTCTGTGCTTGCTATGTCCACTTCTACTCACCTAGAACGTTCTTCATAGCTACCACTCAACCCAATACCCACTTTATGTGGCACTCTCTCGTTTCCAATACACATTAACTTTTTTTTTCCCCCGAGACAGGGTTTCTCTGTGTAGTTTTGGTGCCTGTAGACCAGGCTGGCCTCGAACTCACGGAGAACCAAGTGCTGGGATTAAAGGCGTGCGCCACCACCGCTGGCTTCACATTAACTTTTTTGAATTACAATATTGAAGTGGAAGACAGCTTTGTGGTTCTCACTTAGGAATCCACCAACTGACCTTATTTGGTCTGTTTAAGCATGTTGGAATACATTGCAACGTATATTACTCATCTCATTGGACCAAAAGTTGAGTACCTACTCTGCTAGGGCCAGAGAATTACAGAAAAGAAGAAACTAGAGTTCCCAATGTCAAGGCTCCCTTCAGGGATTGTTATAACCGTGCTGTGGCAAATATTTGTCATCTCTAGTGAGAAAATGAGAGGAGACTTATCCCAAACCCTGCGGTCAAGACTCCAAATGGACTTCCTATTGCCTCTTAACTTTCTCAGAACGGAACTTTGGTTGTCTCCCCAGGACCACTAGATTATTCTGGAACATTAGGCACGTACGCTGTTTCTAATGCCACGACCCAGGGACAACGTATGCAGGCTCAAAGGAATGTAAAACGCACCCATTCTTACTCTAAACTGCCTTTCCAGGGCTAGAGACAGGGCAGCGGCGACACTTCAGGAAGCTGTTGTGATTCATGGGCGTGGAGGAGCCAGTCCAAAGGCGCAGGCGCCGCGCCCTAGCCCCGCCCACTCCAGCGCGGGCGCTGCTACCCCGCCAAGCTCTGACCCCTCCCACTCGGGTCTGCCGGGAGGTTACAGCCGCAGTGCTGCGCCAGGGCCCGACTCCTGCCCCGCCCACTTCCGGCGCGCCCTCCGCGGCTGGGAACGCCCCGTCGGTTCCTGTCCGGCCCCTGCTCGTGACGTCACCGCGGCCCCGCCCATCTCCCCAGCCTCAGCTGCTCGCTGCACCAGTCCGCCGACCCTCCGCTAGTCGCCGCCGCCGCCGCCAAAATGTGAGTGACGCGCTGCGCTGCTAGGCGAGGCGGGCTCCGGGGGGGCGGCGGGCTCCGGGGGGGCGGCGGCCCCCTCCCGGGACCCACGTCAGGCGTGGTGGCCGCCGCTCGGGACCCGGACTCGGGTGGAGGTCTCGCGGGCCTGCGCGCAGCGCCCTGGGCCTGAGGTGGGCGGTGGCCCCGCGGTGCACTCTGCCCTCGGACGCTGCGGGCTCGTGGTGCCGCGACGTCCCGGAGTGCCCCGCGGCCGGCGGGCAGACGCCGAAGGGCGAGGGTGGGGCACCGGCTTCCAGAGGAAGCCGCCGCCACACCCCGTGGTTCCTTCCCCGAGGTCCTCGAGAGGGGCGGGGGCGACCGGGAGCGCTCGCTCTCCGCGCGGTGGTGCGGAGGCCGGGGCATGGCCAGGTGCTGAGGCCCAGGTGGTGTCCTCCGAGGAGCTGCCGCGCCCCCAACATCACTTGGCCATGGGTTTCGCTTCCGTTTTAAGCAAAAAACACTCTTGTTTTGAAGTTGGTTTCTAGTGGTAACGTTCAGCAACAGGACTCGGTAATGTCCCTCTGCCCCAAGTTGACGCCACTTATGAGGTACCTGGTGGGACTGCTTGTGCAAACGGCAGAGCCCGAGGTCTGCATTCAGAGAATTAAACTGGACCTGGCTTCACTTCAGCCCTGCGTGTTCATTCTACATTTTTATAAGATGAGGGTGATAATATTGTCCTCTTCAAAGTATTAGGAATCAGAGAAGAGTACACGGATACTGTTTCACCCCAGAGCACGCTTTCCATGTTTCGCTCTCAGACCCTGAGTTCTGTGAGACAGCCATCCTGGTGTTACACACGGTGCAGACTTAAAAGAAGGACTGTTGTGTAGCGAGGCACATCTCAGGTGCTGGCTTAGATACAGAGTTTAGTGGAGGCATTTGGGACTTCAAAGCAAGAGTAGTTATGAAAAGTGGGCATGAGTGAAAAAGCATTCGATGAACCTGTGGAAGGTGAATGACTCTCTAGCAGAGAGAACTGCTTCAGCCCACCTTTCCATTCACACAAACCCCTCCGTGCACTTTGAATCTACTGCTCCATTTTGGCTATTTTGTGATTGCTTCTTACTATAAGACAGTTCTTGCCACAACAAAAAGAGCAGGAGAATACTGAATGCCTTTAAACAGTTGTGTGTCTTAAAGCATTTTTTTTTTATATTTATTACTATGTATACAGTGTTCTGCCTGCATGTATGCCTGCAGGCCAGAAGAGGGCACCAGATCTCATTACTGATGGTTGTGAGCCACCATGTGGTTGCTGGGAATTGAACTCAGGTCCTCTGGAAAGAGCAGCCAGTGCTCTTAACCTCTGAGCCTTCTCTCCAGCCCTAAAGCAATTAAAAAAAAAAAAAACAGAAAGTAGAGGTATCCAGTCTTGAGATCATGCACTTCATTGGCACAGCAAATGTTTTAGACTTTGGTCACTATCAACTGGTACAGTCTTGGGAATTATTGAGGGATTATTAAAAAATGCACTAGTGCCTTTCTTACTGCAGGACTGTTTTTTTTTTTTAATTTCAGTATAAGGAATTAATAAGACTAAGTCCCAGCATAACAGTTTACACACACACACACACACACACACACACACACACACACACACACACCATGGTGTATGTGTGCGAGCAGAGGACAGTTTCAGATGTCAGTCTTTGCCTACCACCTTATTTGAGACAGTATCTCTGTTCAGTGCTGCCTATGTGTCAGGCTAGCTGGCCCTCAGTTGCCCCAGAACTTTGATGTCTCCACCTCCCATCTCACCATAGGAGTGCTGGGATTACTTATTTGCCTTACCAAATCTAGTTTATATTAAGTGCATTGGGAATCATAATATACTCATGGTTGTGCCTTACACCTTTCAGGTCCACAGGTGTGCCTTCAGGAAGTTCAAGTGCGGCCACTGGCAGTAATCGAAGACTCCAGCAGACACAAAATCAAGTAGATGAGGTACTGCTCTAAATTCTAGAACGTGAATTTTAAACAAACATGGGAATTCCGTAGAATTTTATCAGAAAAAGTCATTGGAGCTGGAGAGATGGCTCAGGGGTTAGGAACACTTACTATTCTAGCAGAGGATCCACATTGGGTTACAAGTACACATATTTGGGCCACTCAACTGTCTTTAACTCTGACCTCCAAGGGCACCTGCATGCCTTTGCACACACACACACACACACACACACACACACACACACACAATTTAAAAAAATTTCATGTTAGAAAAAAGAAAAAGCATCATCAATGAGTATAAATTTTGACTATATCAGAAGTCTTCTTTCTAGATGTGTATTTAGAGGACCACAGTGAAAATTCTGTGAGAAATTCAGACCAGTATTTCCATATTCTTTTTTTTCATATATTTTTAAGATTTTTTTAATGTGTATGAGTGTTTTGCCTGCATATATGTGTACTATGTGTGTGCAGTGCCTGCAGAGGTCAGAAGAGGGCATTAAAACCTATGGAACTGGAGTTGCAGAAGGTTGTCAGCTGCTGTGTCTGTTCTGGGTCGCAAACCCAGGTTCTCAGTAAGAGCAGCCAGTCAGTACTCTTAACTGCTGAACCATCTCCCAGTTCCCTACTTCTGTATTCTTACAGGATTTCTCTGTGTAGTCCTGGCTGTCCTCAAACTCACTCTGTAGACCAGACTATCCCGAAATCAGAGATCATCTGCCTCTGCCTCTCAAGTGCTGGGAATAAAGGCATGCACCACCACCACCCAGCACGATCTTTCTGCTTTTAATTGTCCTAAAACTAGTTATCTTAGATACTGTTATTAAATCATACAGTAAGATGTTATTTGTTTTTGCTCTTTTGGGGGCCTGCCACCCAGCTCCCAAATAAATCACACATGGAGGCTTATTCTTAATTATGAATGCTTGGCCTTAGCTTGACTTGTTTCTTGCCAGCTTTCCTTAATTTAAATTATCCCATCTACCTTTTGCCTCTGAGCTTTTCCCCTTCTCTTATTTCTATAAATCTTACTCTTACTCCATAGCTTGCTGTGTAGCTGGGTGGCTGGCCCCTGATGTCCTCCTTCTCTGGCTCCTTCTCTCCCTTCACCCAGATTTCTCCTTCTATATATCCTCTCTGCCTGCCAGCCCCAGGTACCCTTTCTCCTGCCTTGCTATTGGCTGTTCAGCTCTTTATTAGATCTTCAGGTGTTTTAGATAGGCAGAGTAACACAGCTTCACAGAGTTAAACAAATGTAACATAAACAAAAGTAACATTAAAATAATGTTCTACAACAATAAGATTTTGATATGGTGGTTTCTTTATGAACTTAATTCTAAGCATTTTAGACCTTTACACTAATTCTGTCACTTGCAAACTCAAATTGTACCTTTTTAGAAAGTAAAGGAATTTTAAAGAGATTGAGTTTTTGTTCTTTGAGGTAAAATTCCCATAGCACAATTAAGCATTTTAAAGTCTCTCATTCATGTATAACTTGTTCAGTGTAGTCACTGAATTGGACAACTATCGCATCTTCCTGAGTTCAGAACTCTTGTCACTGCTGAGATGCACGCTGCTCTCATTTCATAACCACTCGCCTTCCCTCTTTCTGCTTTGTTTCTTTGGGTTTGCCTAATCCAGGTATGACATATTCAAGGAGCAGTGTCAAGCTTCTCACACCTTCATGTGTTTCCATGCTCATCCAGGCTGTGGCTATGCTAGCACTTTGTTCCCCTTTTCACAGAGTGGTAGTTTGTTATCCCTTCATAGTTAGTGGGTAGCTGAGCTGTTCTTACCTCTCTAATGCGGCTATAAATATGTTGGAGCCAAATTTTTAAATGTGTCTTCATTCTGTTTCATATGAGTATGGATCTAAGAGTAGCATATATAATAATTCGTACAATAATGCTGTGACTACTTATCCTGCACGAGCTTATTTTCCAGACAGCAGTGTCTGGTGTTGCTGGTGCTGAGTTTGGAGCTACAGCCATCCTAGCAAGCAGGAGGTGGTATCTCTTTGTAGTTTTGAATTAATTAATGATTTGATCAATGGTTAGTGATAGTGAACACCTTTCTAGTGCATGTTGGCTATTTGTGTGTCTCTGAGGAAGTGACTGTTCGAGTCTTTTACCCCGTTTGTGTTACTGCTGTTAGCATGGGCTAACCTGGCACTTACTTAAGCAATAAAGTAGCCCAGGCTACTATTTAACTTCAGAATCTCTTGTCTCAGCCTCTCAAGGGCTAGCATATTACAGTTATGTGTCTCATACATGCTTCCTTTGCAAATGATTTTATTGTGTTGTCTTTCTGTTGTTAACTTATAAGGCTCTTTTATGTATTCTTCACATTTAACATTTATCAGATCTGTAGTTCATAAATATTTCCATCCTCTGGGGTGGTTGAGTTTCACATTCTTCATGGTATACCTTGATGCCAAAAGGTTTTACTTTTTATAAAGCCCAATTTATTTCTCTCTTTTTGTTTTTTCAAGACAAGGTTTCTTTGTATAACAATCCTAGCTGTCCTGGTACTAGTTTTGTAGATCAGGCTGGCCCCGAACTCACCAAGATCCACCTGCCTCTGCCTTTCAAGTGCTGGGATTAAAGATGTGTGCCACCACCGCCGAGCCCCAATTTATCTCTTTAGTTACTTGAATTGTTTTTCTTTTGTTGCTCTTGCTTTTGATATCAAATCTCGGAGTCTAGAGCCAAACCTGAAGCTGTGTGCCGGCTAGTTTTACGTCAGCTTGACACCAGCTAGAGTCATTTTAGAAGAGGGAACCTCAATTGAGAAAATACCCCTGACCAGATTTGCCTGTGGGCAAGCATTTTCTTGACTGATGATTGATGTGGGATGGCCCAGCTTACTGTTGGGTGATGCCACCTCTGGGAAAGTGGTCCTGGATGGTGTAAGAAGCATGCTGAGCAAACCACAGGGAGCCAGCCAGTAAACAGCATTCCTCCATGACCTCTGCACCATCATTTCCTGCCTTGACTGCCCTGTATGTTGGACTATTAGCTGCAAGATGAATTAAACCCTTTCTGCCCCAAGTTGCTTTTCTTCATGGTGTTTTACCACAGCAATGGAAACCTAAAACAAGCTATAAAGCTTTACTTTTTTCTTCTTCTAAGAGTTTTTATACTCTTCGCTCTTAAATTTAACTCACTGGTTTATTGAGTTCTTTCTCTATAGGAAATTAAACAGGAATCCAACTTCATTCTTTCCTTATGGCTATTTAGTTGTGCCAGCACTGTTTGTTGAAAAGAATATCCTTTCTCCATTTGGTGGTCTTAGCATCCTTTTGAAAATTAGTTGGCAGACCGAGAGTGTAGCTCAGTGGTAGAACACTTGCCTAACCAACACAAGGACTTAGGTTCCATCCTCAGCTCCAGAATAGATCAATCAAGCAATAAATTGGTTCAATTGGCTGTAAATGTGTAGGCAGATTTCCAGATTCCCAGTTCTATCCCACTGGTGATCTTCTGTCCTTTGCCATTATCACAGTTTCTATTGCTCTAGCTTTGTGGTGAGTTTTGAAATTGGGAAGTATGACCATAGTTTTTTTGTTTTTTTTTTTAATATTGGCTTGCTTCTTCTCAGTTCTTCTTTGAAATTATATATAAAAAAAGCCACTGGAATTGTTATTACATGACAGTTTTTCTGAGGGGAAAAAGAGCTGTTGGGATTGCATTGATTTTGTCAGTCACTTGGAGAATATGGCCGTCTCCACAGCATTAAGTCTTCCCACATACAAACATGGGTGTCTTCCCACTTACAAGACTTTAATTCTTACAGCAGTCTTTGTGTGTGTGTGTGTGTGTGTGTGTGTGTGTGTGTGTGTGTGTGTGTGTGTGTGTTTTGCCATGGCTATGCTATGAAATCCAGACAAACGGGCACATGGGCATTCCAGGTGATTCTCCTGTCCCTACTTCTCATCTGGCCTTAAGAGAGCAGGAGTGACTGATAGGCACAGACCTGGCTCTAAAGGCCATTGAGGTGGGAGACATGCAGTCCATCCACCACACGCCGAAGTCAGAGGACAGCTTCAGGGTCAGTTCTCTCTTTCCACTGTGTGGGTCCCAGGGATTGAACTCGAGTCATCGGACTGACCACAAGTACTTTTACCTGCTGAGTCATCTTGCCAGCCTCCTTTTCAAAGAGTCTTAAGGGTTTTCTCTAGAATTTCGTACATGTAGGAATAGATGTCCTCTTCCTTTCCAACTAGGCTGTCTTTCTTTCTGTAACTGATTTCTTGGCCAGGACTGCCAGTGTAGTGTTGAACAGCCATGAAAGTGAGCACACTGTTCTGTTTCAGACCTTAGAGGAAGTTGAGTCTCTCACTGTGGTATGTAATACTAGTGTGGGTTTCCCAATACGTACCCATTATTGAAGTTCCCTTCTATCCCTGGTTTGCTAAGTGGATTTATCACAAAGGCCTGGGTCCCTTTTTTTTTTTTTTTTGATTTTTCGAGACAGGGTTTCTCTGTGTAGCTTTGCGCCTTTCCTGGAACTCACTTGGTAGCCCAGGCTGGCCTCGAACTCACAGAGATCCGCCTGGCTCTGCCTCCCGAGTGCTGGGATTAAAGGCGTGCGCCACCACCGCCCGGCTCTGGGTCCCCTTTTTAACTGAGAGTTTAGCTTAAAGTAATAAAGTGCTGCTGACCTGGAAAAAAAAAGGTGCCCTTAGAGTTCGTGTGTATTTTGTTCTTCCTCTCCTTTCTGCGTAACTGTAACCATGTCTGTTTAGGTGGTTGACATCATGAGAGTCAACGTGGACAAAGTGTTAGAAAGAGACCAGAAGCTCTCGGAGCTCGATGACCGTGCAGATGCACTGCAGGCAGGTGCTTCTCAGTTTGAAACAAGTGCTGCCAAGTTGAAGAGAAAGTATTGGTGGAAGAACTGCAAGGTAATGCTGTCTTGACAGACCTTCACTTCAGACACCTCCATTGCAGAGGGTTGCGTTCTGTGACTCTGGGAAGCAGGTGGAATCTGGGCCAGCTGCTGAGTCTACAACCCTTTTCCTTGCCCAGAACTAGGAATCCAACCCCATGATTTGTGGCTAAAGTTAAAAGATGTACAGAGTAGGACTGTCCCAAGCCAGTCTTGGGCATTAGACCCACCCAGGCCCCTGAGAACACACGGATAGGGAGTTCTGGCTTCGGTGCTTAGTTCGCAGGCCGTTCTCGTCTTAATGGCTCCAATTTCAAACGTCCAACGCTAAGAATTTCCATCTCACTCAACAAAAGAGGAGACAGCCACATACGAATATTACTCAAAGCAGGTTTATATAGTTAGCAAATGAGAACGTCTTTGATCAGATCTCAAATACTTCTGTCATGCTTTGTTTAGAAAGGATACATGGGACAAGCTCAGTAGCCTGTGTGGAAATTTGTGTCTTTCCAGAGGCCACAGAGGATTAGAACACACTTTTGAAAGCCCATAACTAAATTTCAGACCTTAACTGAAAATATTAAATTTAGGTTTTAGAAATGATAAATTATTTCACACTGTAGCTGTTGGAGCAAACGCCGTCTGTCTGGTTTTGCAATGTTAAATGGGCCTGTCTTGTTGCAGATGTGGGCGATAGGGATCAGTGTCCTGGTGATTGTTGTCATCATCATTGTTGGTGAGTTACCCATGTTCACTGATGTTTGCATGTGCAGGGCAAAGGGCGAAGGTTAGTTCATTCCAAGGTCTAGATATTTCTCTTTACCAAATATTTTGAATACTTGAGGGTGTTTGGGATGGTGGTATTGAGGGAAGTTTGAGGCAGGGTCTCACTGTTCAACCCAGGCTGGCCTTGAATTTGTAATCTTCTTGCCTCAACCTCTCAAGTGCTAGGATTATAGGCATGTGCCACCATACTGATCCTGAATATTTGAGTTTGTGTGATTAAAGTCTGGTGTTTTGTACAGGTAGATAGATGGATGGATGGATGGATGGATGGATGGATGGATGGATGGATAATAGATATACATACATAGATGTAGACATTAATCATTTGAGAATAGGGAATCTCATTCCTACTGACTGGTCAATTTTTCTCTCCTATGCAGTTTTATGTTTCCTTTTGTGGAGTATAGTGATTAGCTGAGACCACCTTGATCCATCCCAACTGGCCAAATCAATTTCTTCCTGTCCCTATGTAGACAATAGAAATCCCTATTGAGAAGCTACGTAGAAAGACTAAACTGCCCTTTTCACTGTTTCTAAATCTTCCCTGCTTCTTAGTGTGGTGTGTCTCTTAATGAAGAACCTGGTGAAACCGAAGCCCACTGTTCAGGAGCGTCTTGTTCAAGACTTTCTACTTAGAACCTGCTGTGTTATTGAGCTTGTTTTTCCAAATGATTATTTTTGTTAGTTTACATACAGTTCAGTGCCTAAAAAATGTGCCTTTGTTTTAATATACACTCCAAACTGGGGGGTGTGCCTTATCCTGCTCACATTTTGCACAGTGCCTTCACAGATTTATGCACCGACTAGGAAAGAGGACTTCTGATGCTCCAGAGTGCTGGAGTCTGGATGGATGTTGTCACTGACAACTTGCTGTGGATTCCAGGAAGGGGATTCTGTTCAAGTCAGCTGTCCCCACATCTGACATCGTCTTCAAAACCACATTTTAAACCTTTGGGTGATTAGATTACCAGTGCCTTCTGAGAAGAACACTACTGCCTAATACAAATTGGTGACAATAACAGGGTGTGCCTTATTTTGATACTTGGCTCATTTTCGTTAAGAGGACCCTCCGTTTTGTAAGCACTACTGACTCCCACTGTATTAAGATGCTCTCATGTTAGGTGTGAAGATGTTTACTTTCTTGTTCTTGTTGTGTATCGCTTCTAAAAGAGTATTTTAATCAGAAATAACCCTTGAAAAAGTTTTTGTAGGACTATGACCAAAGTTTCTTTTTTGCCAAAACTGAAATACAATGTCCGTTAAGTCTGTCCCTAATAGATTTAAATAAGTGCCAAATGTAACTCAGGTTGTCCTTCAAGAAAATTGTTTATACTGTGTGAGCCTTCAACATTTTCACAGTCCTTCCTGTGAAATGCTGTAGATGATGCTACTCCTTCAAAATTGGTTTCTTTCATAGAGCTATAGAGGTGAGCTAAAGCAAGCAATTTGCAGATTGAACGAGAGACTGTAGCCTCTAGTGCAATGTGAGCAGCGGCTCCGCAGCCTCACAGAGTCATTAGCAAAGACCGGAACTCTTGACTACTATTTACTGCTTTTACTCATACTTCACTTCTAAATCAGTCCTCTGTATTATGCTTGAGGTGAGGCATTGGTCACTTCCAAATGGATAGCAAACCAGAGATGCCTGTTGCTCTTAAGACATAGCTGTTGCCATCTGAGACACTTTCGTTGTGTATATGACTTTCATCAAGGTGTGGTTCAGAGATGGGCGTTCAGGCATGAATGTAAATAAGGAAGCAGGGAGGATGAAGTAGAGGCTCTCTTTGCCTGTGGTAGTGCCACTAGAATGTCCTGGAATTTGTGTTTGTGTGCAAAGTGGCATCAGTCAAGATGTAATAGAATCTGGTTCCAGTTTTTTATTTGTTCCCTAACATTACTGAAACAGTACAAATATTGAAAGCATGTCCCACTATGGGAACGCAGCATCAGCCTGGGGCCTCTGTCTTGGTCTGACCCCACAACCTTGGTGCTGTCTCCTCCATACTCAGACCCATGTAACTCACTGGCTCCTGTGTTAACACAGTAATACCTCGCTTGTCTGTGCATTCAGCTGGGAACTTTCCCGCTATGAAATCCTGAATAAAGTTGTTTATTAACATGATCCTGTCTTGTGTTCCTTGGAGTGGGGTGGATACACCTGATCCGTTTCCTAAAACTTCTTCCCCTTGCTGTCCCCGCCTTTCCCTCACAAACTACTTTTTCTTTCTTACCCACCCCCACTAGGAGTAGCTGCAGATCCCATCCTATGTTAGGGTTCTCTAGAGGAACAGAACTGATAAAATGAATATTTCAAAGAAGACTTATTAGATTGGCTTGTGTGATATGGTCTGCCTCACACTAGAGAGGCTGAAAATGAAGAGACTCTAGCCAGCTTAATCACAGCAAACATGGCTCTGGCAGGCCTTGCCCTTGCTTTGCTAAAAAATATTAGATCACATTTCTGAAGCCAGCCCCTAAGATCTATTCCCTTATTTGGCCACTTCCTCCCACTGAGGCTGGCTACTAAGGTCCATCTATCAAAGTATTGAAGTCCAGCAATCAAAAGCCCCCTTGTGACTACCCTGATTAACATGCCCAATCAAAATCAACCACCTCATCCTAACATGGGGTTTCCCTTTTTACCTTTATAAACTCATTTGCCTATGGGTCATGTCTGTCTCCTCTCTATCCAGAGGCAGTCCTTTGTCCCTCCAGGAAAACACCCCTGTCCCCTCTACCTTGTTCCCTTCCCCTTCTTCCTCATCCTCTACCCCCTGTCTTTGTCTTATTCCCTGCCCTTTGTTTCTCTGGGGCACATAAATCTGCTTTGTACTGAGAGCTTGGCCTTGGGGTGTGCTGAGCCGATCCCAATCCAGACCCACCATTCTCTTCCAGAGAAACTGGTAGCTGTTCAGTTCATGAGGCTGAGTGCTTCAGCAGTTCCAATCTGGTACTAGAGGCATGGAGGATTACTGGAAAACCTCATGTTGAAATCCAAAAAGCTGAGTTCTGATAATAGCAAAGTGCAGCAACACCAGGGTAGAACTTGCCAGTAAGTGAGGCTCATAGGCAAAAAGCAGAGCATCCTTCTTCCATCATCATTATCTGGGCTGCCACCAAAAGTTGCTGCCTAAATTTAGGGTAGATCTGAGCAAGAAAGTCCATCAGGAATGCCCAGCAGGTTGCCTTTCAGTTGATTCCAAATCCAATGAAGTTGACGACTGAAATTGACCATCATACTCCAAATGAAAAGTGCTTTTCAGTGTAGAGGTGAGATAGGAGCTGGCTTGCAGTTAGTCAGGATATGGCCTATGGGTTTCTTAAATATGGTCTTCTAGAAGTAATCTGGAAAGGTGGCCCTGGTATACAACACCACCACGAGCCAGATAAATTTGGATAGGTGAGGGATGTTCCAAATTTGCCTTCCTTTGAATACACCCTCCCTCATTCCTCCACACCTGGAAACAACGTAATATAGACCAAGTGGGTTTTTGCTTATGTTTACAACACGAAAGTCTACTTTCCCTTAAGTATAAGCCCTACTACAGTCTGGCCCTTCCTTTCTCACCCACTCTCATACCATTTCAAGTTCTCAACAACTAGCCTGCTCTGCACCAAGATGGCCTGGCAGGTACAATACTGTTCAGTTCTGTGGAAGTGTTCACCCACTTCCCTCACCCCAAGGCATCTCTCAAGTTCAGTCTCCCCTTCTCAATGAAAACTTATCCTCCAGGCCATTTCCCAGACTTCTTGCCTCCTCCCGTAACCTCTATCCTTTCCATCCCACTAACTTATTTTATTTATTATCATCTCAGACTTTGTTGACTTTCAGGAGTCATTCATGTTGTATGTTGAGTGTGAGGGATTTTTGTCCTGTCTGCAGGGAGTACAATAATCTCTGCCCAGGTGTGCACTCAATAGCTGTGTAATGAATGCTTCTTGAAGAAGAGCTTGACAGTAGAGTGATCCGGTGTGGAGAGAGACTTTGAAAAATGAGTGATTTGTTCAATACATAATGTGGATAACTGCCCTCTGGCACTATCCCCTTCTTTGACCTAGAACATCTTTCATTCATCCAAAAAAAAAAAAAAATACTGAGTGTACTTACTTCTTTAGACTTAATTGTTTATGTGTTGTGTTTTATGTCTGGATACGTGCATGTGCTTTTATCGATGAGAGCGTGGGATCCCCTGGAGCTTGGGATTAGGGGCACTTGTGAGGCCCCTCATAGAGGGTGCCTAGGAACCATCCAATGAAAGAGCTGTAGGCGCTCTGCTGCGCCATCTCCTGCTCGCACCCCCTCCCACCCCCGTGTCTTCTTGGTGTACCCAGGCAGCAGAGGGCTCTGCCCTGTTCATTTTGTTTCAGAAGATATGAATAGTTATATAAAATGAGCGTCCCGGCTGTTTCCTCGAAAAGAGAGCATCTTTTACATATGTTTATCTTCCTCCTGTTGCCAAATGGATCTGTAACTTCAGAGCAGCCCGGGAAGTTACCTTGTACCATTAAACTTCTATTTCTGAAAATTCGGTTGGATTCTATGGGGGTTCATTCGCCTATAGCTGGCGGGCGGGAGGAGACAGCAAGTTCAGGAAAGATTAAAACAATGGGAAACCAAGGAGATCCTTCACTCCAAAGCACTGCGTCCCTGGGCACTACCGCGGTTCGCCCGGGAAGCCTCAGTGGCCAGAGGACCCAGAAGTGCCACAGGGAAACCGGGCTCCACTCACCTGTCGGCTGCGCAGGCCACGCCCCCTGGCCCGCCCTCTCCTGACTGACAGCTCCAAGGCCCCAACTCCGGGACCCCAGCTGCAGACTTGCACGGCTAGGCCCTAGCGTCCTCCTGGCCACTCCGCCCCCGACCCGGGCTCCTGGCGGCCGGGATTGGCCAAGAGCCGACCTCGCCCGACCCGCGCGTTATGTAAGGTACTCCGGGGCCTTTGCACCCGCCCACTCGCCCACGGTTACGTAACCCCCGCGGTGCCGAGCCGGACTCCGCCCCGGCCAATGGGAGCTCGCGTAGCCGGCCGCAGTGACCAATCGAGCGGCGGAGGGGCGTGGCCGGAGCCCGTGGCGCGGAGGGGGGCGGGGCCGGCGGCCGCTCGGCACGCGGCTGGCCTCGAGACTGGGCGGCCCGCGGGTGGGCGAGGGCTCTGCGGGGCCGCGGGTGGCGGCGAGTGCTCGGCTGGCGGGAGGCCTGCGAGCCTGCACGGCCCGGCGCCGCTGCCCCTGCCTTCCGCCGTGTCAGCCCGCAACCTTGCGCTCTGAGGCGTTCCTTGATGCTCGCCGACTTCTCAGCATGGACGGTGGAAAAGTTGGTTCGGGCTGAACACGCTCGCCGAGAGTCACGGTGGGGTCCGGCCAGCCCGTTTCCGGCGTCGAGCTGTCGGTGTTGCTCGTCACCCGAACAGATGCTGTGAAAATGCTGAGGAGAAAAGTGCCCCTCAGATGAGCGTGGTCGGCAACCAGTCTTTCCCGAAGGCGATGGCAGGGACCAAAACAAGCCGGGTTTGGTTGCTAGCTGCAAACTGAGAAAAGCTGGCTGAGGGCTGCCAGGCGGGATGGACCCCTGTGGAGACCCGGCAGTGCCCAGCGGCGACTGTCCCCACAGCGGGGGACAGGGGCTCCAGGGGACGTCTGATCAGGAGGGTCCGCTGCAGGGCACTTGCGTGGACAGCAGCCACAGGTGACGCTGGGAAGCTTGCCTACCATCCTCTGTTTATTGCCCTGGCGCGGAGCTGGGAAAGCAGGATTTACAACTTTATTATGTTTTTGACCCAGGGGGCGGGGTGGGGGGGGGTGGAGGCGACATGAAAGGGAACTTTTAGACAGTTTAGTGAGAATGGACGGGAGGAGGATGATACTAGAGTGAACTGCCAGAGTATGGAAAGGAGGAAAGCGGTTGAAGAATTGGATGGAGTTAGGGCTGAAGGGAGATTGAAAGTGTCCAATGTACCCTGCCTGGAAGAGAAAGGGCATTAAACCTGTGATCTGAGTGAGTGGATGTGCCCAAACACCCCTAAAAGTCAGGTATTTCCTGAGTGTCCACCATTACCATTTCTTGGTTTTTTTGTTTTGTGTTTTTTTTTTTTCTGTTCAGTGAACATGAAGACAGAAACAGAATATCTGAAGAACTTATAATGGTTGTCCAAGAAATGAAAAAGTATTTTCCAGCCGAGAGACACACTAAGCCCAGCACCCTAGATGCCCTTAACTATGCCCTACGCTGTGTACGTAGCGTGCAAGGTAATGAGTTGCAGAAAGTAGGGTGGCACTGGGCCCAGTACTCATGTGCAGTGGGATTCCCAAGAGGCTTGAGCTTCTTTGTGGCCAGGACAAGCACGTCTAACCGAGTGCTTCAAGTGGTGCTTTGGGCTTTCCAAAGCCAGGAGAATAGAATTTGTCTGTCAGTTTAGTAACTGCAGTATTTTGCAGATCTGTTGCAAAATACTGTTGTAAAGTTTTAGCAATTTAAGTAAAACTCGAAGCCTTTTTTTCAAGGAGCATTGCCTTCCATGGAGATTACAAGAGAAAATACATGTGTACTTTCCTGTCATGCACGTACTTTGGCCATACAGTTACACTATATAAGAAGTGGAGTAAAGGACAAATGTTTCTCCTTTCCTTCAGACTTGTCCTCCTCAAGTATTCCATAAAGTTGTGTCTTTAGCACAAACCTCTTTGCTTCATCTGTGGTAAATAGGTAGTTTGTGAATGCTAATATTTCCTCCATAAAAATGTGTGTGTATCTGTACTTTAATTTCATTAGCTAGCTTTAGAACTTTAAATGAATATTGCTTCTTGTAACCTAGAGCATGCAGGATTCATAAAATTCAGTCTTAAGTTTGCATAACTAACCACATTTTTATGCATGCAAAAAAATTACCTGATATTGAGGAAAACGAAAGGTATTCTCATCTAGGGAAAATTAGCCAGCCTGATAGTGCTAAGACATGACTTCCTGAAGACGCTGTTGTCACTGGAGTACCTGTTTATTTCCCTGTGTTTCTTAGCAAACCGTGAATTTTTCCCGAGTCTCAGTCCACATGGAGCACCTCAGGCAGATGTGACTGCGTACGGTCTTGAGGAGCTGGCCTCTCTTGTGTCTGAACATGCTTCCAA